GTGGGAATTTGACCGGCAACCAAGCGATCGAACTTAAGAGCCTTGGGGATCATAAGGGTAGCTCCCTTGAGCAAGCGGACAGTGTATTCCCCAGAATCAGGAATCTCAAAAATCTCCACGTTATCACCATGTTCGCGCTTGAACTCCTCTGCAGTTTCTTTGGACGCCTCAAATGAATCCAGATCCTCCTGTAGCACGATCTCCTGGAGAATCTGTTTCTTCTTCGGATCGTACCCGCCGAAGAGCTCCGGCTCAATAAGACGAATACCAGAATGTTCCAGGATGTGTTTCTCATACTTTGCTTTGACATCCTTATCATTGACAGGCTCTCCTGTTTTTGCATCAACCCAGCCGGAATATGGCTTGCCCTTGATGGGACCGTTATGGTTCTTGATCAGCCCCATCAGCCACGCCATCTCAATGCAGCCTTCCAGTGAGAATTTCCCGTACGCTTCCATCTCCCACCGGGTGCGAGAGTTACCCCAGGGACCAATCTCCGCAAAGCCCGTGACAACAACCACCTTATCCAAATTCACCATACCCTTAAGATTAGCGTTGAGCGGCTCGATCTCTTTCCAGTCGGGGAGTTTCGGAAATTCAAACTTGATATTCGCGCGGGGAACTGTGGTGACCTTCTTATACAATGCCTCGCTGCTCTCGCCATTGACAACCTTATTCTCCAGCGCCGTCTCCTTAGTGACAGCCTGCCGGACGGTGCTTGTCTCCTTGACCTCGCCGTGCAGCCGCTTCATCAGCACATTGAGATCAGGCAGGAATTGGAGGCCACCGTTAAGATCGGCAAAGACGGGCTGGTTTTGGCACAGGTTGACGATGGCAGGCGCCATGAGACCTAGGAGGTTGAACGCCATCTCCTGCTGCGAGAATGTGCGAACGCCAAGTTTTTCGACGCCTTCGGCAATCACGTCGTTGGCGTTCATGAGACCGGTACAACGCGTCCAGCCGATGACAGCACCACAGATAGTCAAGTAATTTGCCCAACTTTCAGAATACCAACGGTTGAAGAGAGTTTCCAGCCCGAGTTTCGACTCGGAGTATAAGCCATCGTTACCAAAGGTACCATGGTTTGGAGACAGAGGCAGGATAACCTGAGCGGGACGAGTCTCGAACCCGCGCTCGTGTTTCTGGGACTTGACATAACCAAGCAGGCGGAAGATGTTGGTCAACATGACTCTGTGTGCGAGTTCAGATTTCGAGTCGATGCCGTCAATTTCCCGGCCATTCTCAGAGATAGCAGCGAATGGCACGATATAATCCAGATCCCAGCCCAGTCCATTCTTTGGATCATAAATGTAGTTCACAAGCGCCTCAACATCCTGCTTACTGCCTTGATTGAAAGGAACGACAACGAGTTGTGAACCCCGCGCGCCGTAGCGGGTGTACATAGTCTGGTAGTACTGAGTGACTTCTCGAGAAAATCGACTTGTGGTGACGACGACCTTGGCACCACCACTGATCATACCCTGCAATACAGCTGCACCAATCGATCCAGCCCCTGCACCAGTCATCAGAGCATTTTTGCCATGGAACGTGACGCCAGCGCGAGCAGCGGATTCCAGCCCGTCGAGATAGATGCCGGTGAGTTTCTTGCTATATTCCCATCCATTGGCGTCTTTCTTTTTCAGGTGCAGGAATGGGATGGTCTCCACTTTGCCCGTGCGTCCATTCGCGTGTCCGTTCGCGTTCCCATTCCCGTTGGCGACCGTACCGTTCATGCGAGATCTCGAGCTATTGCGACTGCCCTTCTTCGCATAGCCGTTTTCTTGAGGCATGATTTGGTTCTCGTTCATGGACAACGCACGTAGAACCTCGCGGTATAGGGCATTGAATTGCAGCTGGGACGACTTGGAGAGTTTGTGTTGCTTGCGAATGAGTTTATAGACACTCTTCAAGTCATTCTGGACTTTGGCACGGTTACTGTACTCGGAAATGGGCCCACCTTCCGCCATTGCCTTGACGTAATGCTCGAGTTTCCGGGCGCTACCTCGAGGAATTTCCGAGTACTTGATGTTTCCCCGGGAGTCAATGATAGTCTGAGGTCCTGTTGGTACGGCAACGTCTTTGTAAACAGGCTTCTCATTGAGAACCTCCTTACAATTTTCAAGGAGTTGCTGGCCAAGTTCCTTTGCGAGTTTATATGTTTCGCCACGTTCGGTTGGGCAGTTGTCAATGTGGTATTGCATAAATTCTAACAAGAGAGGGTTCGACCGATTCATAAGACGGATACATTGACTGACAATTTCACGATCCACAGCCTTCAGCCGGCCGAAGATGATATCGTAATACATGTTGAGCGCATCTTGTCTCGCCCAGTTCCAAGATGAATCGTAGATGCGGGCCTTGAGAGGGTCGAATGACGGCGCTATGCCAGAAGCGTATGTGTCACCGTGCTCAGCATGCCACAGATCCAGTTGCGCCTGGAGAGCAGCCTGAGTTTCCTGGGAGGCCAGGAAAGCCTTATCGCCTGCGCGAAGATCTTTTTTAAGATACCGGGCCGTAAGCTCGAGTTGCTGCTTAAAGAATGCACGTTGATCCTTAGTGAGGGCGTCCAGAGCGGCTGGGTCCATCATCATGCCACCACCCCCATTGCCTCCATCTCCACCAGCGGGAGTGGTAGAAAGGTTGATACCCGCATGGGCGGCATATTTATTGGCAACATCGTCCAAGTATGCTTTGGCGTCCGTTTCCGAGCCCAGTCGCGACGCAGGCTCCATAGTTAGAGCCAGTAGAAGAAGGCTATCTTGTCGACCTGCTTGCAGTCCCCATCTTGTTTCAAGATACTTTCGGACAGCAGTAATATTGAAACCACCGGGCATTTTGGACGAAACAAGTCTTGCAACGAGTGATGAGGATTGTTTGCCAAGTTGGCCATTAAAGGTAGGCTGGATAGCAGCACCAAGCTCATCTAGTGGCGTATCTTCTGGTTTCTCTGGGGTTGAGCCGAATTCTTTTCCGAGATCGCCTAAAATTTCATTTTGAAGAGTCGATTTGCCTACAAGAAATATAACATTAATTCAGCGTGTCCACTGGAACCCCAGGGTGGATAATTGACGAAGAAAACAAATGAGAATAGCTCACCTCCAACTAGATCCTTAATAGCCTTTGTCAGGGGAATATCTGCCAGGGGTTTTTTCAATTTCTGCGCCACAAGCACTCTAACTATATCCAGAGCTGTAACTGGTGTATCCGCAACAGCAGCAGCCGGTCCAGTCGATGGGGATGGAGCTGAAGCTGGAGGTGGGGCTGGAACAGCCGCTGGAGTAGGAGCAGAGCCGGATGCTGCAGGAGTGGTAAAAGCCGCAGCACCAGCAGTAGCAGGGACGGACTCCGGCTCATCTTCTACGGGATCAACATCGTAATAGATCTCCTTTGCGTCCTTATTATAACACAGAATCTGGCGTTGGACGGAGGTAGCTGCATCGTAAGCTTCGTACTTGGACGCAATCGTACGCCTGGCCATTCCACCTAAGGTGTCAGCGGGGCCTATTTCGACGATGCGCTCCGTCCGCTTCTCCTGGAGGATGACATCTTGGGTTTCGATCCATCTGACGGGGGAGGCGAATTGGTATGCGAGGAGCTCGACAAGGAGGGTATGGGCGAGCTCCTGCTCGACTTCGGGGCGCATGTTGATGGGAATGAGAGGAAGTGGAAGACGATATGGAGAGGAGATAAAGGGAGGATTGGATATATATTATGTACTGTAGGTATTTGGGAGACTGAAGGATGCTTGATATAAGCTTGGTATGCCCCGGCTTGAATTAAAAAAAATTAAAGCGGCAAAAGAGAAACTCCAATCGCATGTCGAGGGAGGAGCAGAGAAGGATGATGGAGTAATGCGGACCACAGACGTCCTTCAACCAACAATGAGTGAGCCTGGAGAAGAATCCCTCCAAGCAGTCAACGTCAGTGGGTGGAAAGTGGGAGAGGGGAGGGTGAAGTGAAGAGCAAGAAAAAAAAACCGAAAATAGTGACACCGAGAGAGTTCGGAGTCCGTTGTTGGGGGAGTTGAGATTATTGATACGGTATCCGAATTACAATACGCCGTACGGTGCCTGGTTGGGACACTAGCCAATGCTTGTCTGTAGCGGGCCAGGGCACGGCAGCTGCGTATTGTTCCGGTATGGCGAATACGGTGTGTGCGATGGAGCTTACTTGAAGCCGACCGATCAGGGAGGAGTTAAGAGACAGAAGATGGCTAAACAACAGAATTGAGATTGGTGGATAAATATATAATCGCCCACGTTTTACTCTCTGATAAAACAGGATTAAACGCCATCCTCCTCTATCCGCTTGCCAGGACCCCAACACCACAGTTGCCAACATTTTGATGCACACTGTTGGGAGCTCAGAGCCTGCGGCCACTAGTGTATCGTATTGTCAACCCGGCAATCTGGGCCAGACTACTGCGTGACTAAGCCCAACCATTTTGCTTTTTTGGGTTCCAAAGTTACCCGCTAAGCCTAATGCGTGCTATATGCGTTCAACGACTTATTATTCAGCTGTAATTCTTGGTATTAATTACCGGGCATCAAATTTTCCCAATGCGGGCAGAAAACCAGCAAGTATCTTGCCTCAACATCTTCAAAGTCTTCAATTCTTCAATTTCTTCGTCTCTGTGCTTTTTCCCCCTCAGAACTGGGTACTCCGCTTCCCGTTCTCTTCCACTACTGTTGCTGCCCTGGCACGGACAAACGGTGGAGTGTTCAACATTATTGCACAGCTCCTCCTTCTCCCATTTCTCTTCACGGCTACTCATGAGCTGAATGCCGCTGCTGTGGTCTCCCTTCCTCCCAACATCCTTGCGTCGTTTCTTCAACACCCTCCCGCTGTGAAACTTGGGGACTATCGCCACCTCAACCTGCCTGCTTGAAACTGAGATTAGCTGTTCATAAAACTCACAGGCAAGTTACCTGCTTTTCCAATCTCCTACAACCCTCTCAATTGACAAACAGGCCTCCTCAGTTTGCCTCTCTACCAGCATCATGTACGGCACCTCTACAGGGCCCCAGACGGGCATTAATACCCCGCGATCCTCACAATCTCTCCGCCCTCTCATCCTGTCCCACGGCTCCCTCGAGTTCTCATTTCTAGTCCCGACCTCCCTACATTTCCATGCGCAACAACTCAGGGATTCCTTTTCAGCTTCTTTACCTGCCCCCACCGATGAACTGGCTCAGGATGACGAGCCTTCATCTGTGCAGGAGCTCGTTGCTAGGTATTTGGGCTACGTTGCTAGCCAAGTAGAAGAAGGCGAGGATGACGCACAGGGCTCTTATGTCGAGGTATTGAAGCTTGTCCTAAACGAATTCGAGCGCGCGTTTATGCGGGGCAACGATGTACATGCCATCGCCTCTACGCTTCCAGGAATCACTTCAAAGAAACTCCTCGTCGTACAGTCATATTATGCGGGTCGTGCGGCAGCAAATCGGCCCACCAAACCACACGATTCTGCCTTGCTGCGTGCTGCAGCAGATGGTAATGCACAACTGTACAGCGTCTTTGGCGGCCAGGGAAACATCGAGGAATATTTTGATGAGCTCCGGGAAATCTACACCACATATCCTTCCTTTGTGGAGGATTTCATTGCGTCTTCTGCAGAGCTTCTGCAGTCTCTCTCGCGTGACCCGGATGCCATCAAGCTCTACTCCAAAGGGATGGATGTTGTACGATGGCTTGAGGACCGCGACTCTCAGCCAGACACGGATTACCTGGTGTCTGCGCCCGTTAGTCTTCCCCTGATCGGTCTGGTCCAGCTAGCACATTATGTGACTACGTGTAAGGTTATGGGAAAACAGCCTGGCGAAGTCCTGGAGAGATTCAGCGGGACCACGGGCCATTCCCAGGGCATTGTCACTGCAGCTCTGATCTCTACGGCTACCACGTGGGACACATTTTACAAAGCCTCCAAAAGCGCTTTGACGATCCTCTTCTGGATCGGAATGCGAAGCCAGCAAGCATACCCGCGAACCTCCCTTGCCCCTTCTATCCTTCAAGATTCAGTTGAGAACGGCGAAGGGGTTCCAACACCAATGCTGTCAATTCGAGATCTTGCTCGCTCCGCTGTCCAAGAGCACATCGATGCCACCAACCAGCATTTGCCTCAAGATCGACATATTGCCATCTCGCTGGTAAACAGTGCTCGCAACTTTGTAGTAACCGGCCCTCCCATATCTCTTTACGGTCTCAATCTTCGATTGCGCAAGGTTAAGGCTCCCACCGGATTAGATCAGACTCGTGTGCCTTATACACAGCGAAAGGTTCGATTTGTCAATCGCTTCCTCCCAATCACCGCACCGTTCCACAGCCAATACCTCGCCTCTGCTTTCGAACAAATCACAGAAGACTTAGAGGATCTGGCCATTCCATCCAAGTCCCTGCGTATCCCCGTGTACGATACCAATACCGGTGAAGACTTGCGCGACAGAGACGAAGATATTGTCCCGGCTTTGATTCGCATGATCACGAGAGACCCCGTCAACTGGGAGAATGCAACTGTCTTTCCCAAGGCAACTCATGTCCTAGACTTCGGCCCTGGAGGAATTTCAGGGCTGGGCGTCTTGACTAATCGCAACAAAGATGGTACTGGTGTTCGGGTTATCCTTTCTGGAGCAATGGATGGCACTAACGCGGAAGTTGGCTACAAACCGGAGTTGTTTGACCGGGATGAGGAACATGCTGTCAAATATGCTGTGGATTGGGTTAAGGAGCACGGCCCGCGGCTAGTTAAAACATCCGTTGGCCAGACATTTGTCGACACGAAAATGAGCAGGCTGCTTGGAGTCCCTCCCGTCATGGTTGCCGGTATGACTCCTACAACGGTCCCCTGGGACTTTGTCGCTGCGACTATGAATGCAGGGTACCAAATCGAACTCGCTGGTGGTGGATACTACAATGCTAAAACGATGACGGAAGCTCTTAACAAGATCGAGAAGAACATCCCTCCTGGCCGCGGTATAACTGTTAACTTGATTTACGTCAACCCGCGCGCTATGGGGTGGCAAATCCCGTTGATTGGCAAACTGCGTGCGGACGGCGTTCCGATTGAAGGTCTGACGATTGGTGCAGGTGTGCCGTCTATCGAAGTCGCCAACGAATACATCCAAACTCTCGGAATCAAGCATATCGGTTTCAAGCCGGGCTCTATGGATGCTATCCAGCAGGTGGTCAACATCGCTAAAGCAAACCCCACTTTCCCTGTGATCATGCAGTGGACTGGTGGTCGTGGTGGCGGCCATCATTCGTTCGAGGATTTCCATCAGCCAATTCTGCAGATGTACAGCCGCATTAGGAGATGTGACAATATCGTGCTGGTCGCTGGTAGCGGATTCGGCGGGTCTCAAGATACCTACCCTTACTTGACCGGATCCTGGTCGAGGGAATTTGGATACCCCCCAATGCCGTTCGATGGATGCCTCTTTGGTAGTCGCATGATGACCGCCAAGGAAGCACATACTTCCAAGGCCGCCAAACAGGCCATTGTTGAAGCTGAGGGTGTTGACGATAGTCGCTGGGAAGATACATATAGCGGCCCTGCTGGTGGTGTCATCACCGTTCGTTCCGAGATGGGCGAGCCAATTCACAAGCTGGCCACGCGTGGTGTCCGTTTCTGGCACGAGATGGACCAGAAGATCTTCTCACTGGATAAGGCTAAACGTCTGCCAGAGTTAAAAAAGCAACGCGACTATATCATTAAGAAGTTGAATGCTGATTTCCAGAAGGTCTGGTTTGGGCGCAACTCGCAGGGCGACACTGTGGATTTGGAAGATATGACATATACCGAGGTCGTGCATCGCATGGTAGACCTCATGTATGTGAAGCATGAATCGAGATGGATTGATGACTCTTTGAAACGACTCACGGGCGATTTCATCCGACGTATTGAGGAGCGGTTTACTTCCGTCGAGGGACAACCATCACTGCTACAAAATTATTCGCAGCTCGATACCCCTTACCCGTCCGTCGACAAGATTCTAAACGCGTACCCAGAAGCGACGTCACAGTTGATCTCTGCACAAGATGTTCAGCACTTCCTTCTTCTCTGCCAGCGCCGTGGTCAGAAGCCTGTGCCGTTTGTCCCATCACTAGATGAAAATTTTGAATTCTGGTTCAAGAAGGACTCCCTCTGGCAGTCCGAGGACCTCGAAGCCGTTGTGGGCCAAGATGTGGGACGCGTGTGTATTCTCCAAGGTCCTATGGCTGCTAAGTACTCCAACACAATCGACGAGCCCGTCAAAGATATCCTCGATGGCATTCACAATGACCATATCAAAGGTCTTGTGAATGACGTCTACGGCGGGAATGAATCCAACGTCCCTGTCATCGAGTACTTCGGCGGACAGCTGCTGCTAGAAACCGACGGCGAGAGCGATATCGACGGCCTAACCGTCTCCGAGGATGTTACCAAAGTCTCTTATCGCCTCTCACCTTCTACATCCACCAACCTCCCTGATCTCGACCGCTGGTTGCATCTGCTTGCGGGCAGGACCTACTCATGGCGTTATGCTATGTTCACCACTGAGGTTTTCATCCAGGGCCAGAAGTTCCAGACGAACCCGGTGAAGCGGATTCTTGCACCAACTCCAGGCATGTTTGTTGAGATCCAATACCCCAACGACTCGCGCAAAACCATTATCAGTGTCCGCGAGCCGTCCCCCGCCGGAAAACTCGTCAAGACAGTCGAAGTGCGAACAAACGGCGAGCGAGAAATCTCCCTGACCTTGTTTGAGGGACGAACTGCTGAGGGTGGCGTCGTGCCGCTCTGCTTCCGTTTCACATATCATCCGGAAACAGGATACGCGCCCATTCGCGAAGTCATGGATGATCGAAATGACCGAATCAAGGAGTTTTATTATCGTATTTGGTTTGGCGAACGGAATGTCCCCTTCGATACTCCCGCAACCGCAATCTTTGATGGCGGCAAGGCCACTGTTACGAGCCAAGCGATTGCTGATTTCGTGCACGCTGTCGGAAATACTGGTGAGGCGTTCGTTGATCGACCTGGAAAAGAAGTGTTTGCACCCATGGATTTCGCCATCGTTGTTGGATGGAAGGCCATCACGAAGCCCATATTCCCCCGCGTCATTGATGGCGATCTATTGAAGCTGGTGCATCTGTCCAATGGTTTCAGGATGATTCCTGGCTCCGAGCCGCTGAAAGTTGGCGATGTACTTGAAACTACGGCACAAGTTAATGCGGTGATTAACCAGGATTCCGGGAAGATGGTTGAAGTCTGTGGGACAATTAGGAGGGAGGGCAAGCCGATTATGGAGGTTACAAGTCAGTTTTTGTATCGTGGGTCCTATAATGATTATGAGACTACCTTCCAGCGCAAGGAGGAGGTCCCCATGCAGATCCATCTAGCTTCATCCAAGGATGTCGCTGTGCTACAATCGAAGGAATGGTTCCGCCTCGATGAACCTGATGTGGATCTCCTCGGCCAGATGCTCACGTTCCGTCTACAAAGTCTTGTCCGTTTTAAAAACCAAACTATCTTTAGCAGCGTGCAAACAATCGGCCAAGTGCTCATCGAACTGCCCACCAAGGAAGTCATCCAAGTTGCCTCCGTAGAGTACGAAGCCGGTACCTCTCACGGAAACCCGGTCATCGACTACCTCCAACGCCACGGCTCAGCTATCGAGCAACCAGTCAACTTCGAGAACCCGATCCCACTCAGCGGAAAAACGCCGCTTACCCTCCGCGCGCCCGCGTCAAATGAAACCTATGCGCGCGTCTCGGGCGATTACAACCCTATCCATGTCTCCCGCGTGTTCTCCAGCTACGCCAATCTGCCCGGCACAATCACACATGGCATGTATACCAGTGCCGCGGTGCGGAGTCTCGTCGAGACGTGGGCTGCAGAGAACAACATCGGGCGTGTTCGCAGTTTCCACGCTTCGCTGGTTGGGATGGTGTTGCCAAACGATGACCTTGTTGTCGTCCTCCAGCACATCGGCATGGTAGCTGGCCGGAAAATCATCAAGGTTGAAGCAAGCAACCAGGCGACGGAAGAAAAAGTGCTGCTCGGCGAAGCTGAAGTGGAGCAGCCGGTATCCGCATATGTGTTTACGGGCCAAGGTTCGCAAGAACAAGGAATGGGTATGGACCTTTATAATTCCAGCGCCGTCGCCAAGGAAGTCTGGGATCGTGCTGATAAGCACTTCATCGAGAATTACGGCCTGTCGATCATCAACATTGTCAAGAACAACCCGCAGGAACTGACTATTCACTTCGGTGGACCCCGCGGCAAAATCATCCGTCAGAATTACATGGCCATGACATTCGAGACTGTCAATGCCGACGGGACCATTAAGTCCGAGAAGATCTTCAAGGACATCGATGAAAATAGCATCTCGTACACCTACCGGTCGCCCACCGGTCTTCTCTCGGCCACACAATTCACCCAGCCAGCCCTGACATTGATGGAAAAGGCCAGCTTCGAGGACATGCGATCCAAGGGCCTCGTGCAGCGCGACAGCAGTTTCGCTGGACACTCGTTGGGCGAGTACTCCGCGCTTGCAGCACTGGCTGACGTGATGCCGATCGAATCACTCGTGTCTGTGGTATTCTACCGTGGTCTGACGATGCAAGTGGCCGTTGAGCGGGACGAGCTGGGCCGGTCTAATTACTCTATGTGCGCGGTAAACCCGAGTCGGATCTCGAAGACGTTTAATGAGCAGGCGTTGCAATACGTTGTGGAGAATATTGCAGAGCAAACAGGGTGGTTGTTGGAGATTGTCAACTACAACATTGCGAATTTGCAGTATGTCTGTGCGGGAGATGTAAGTTCCTCTTGTTTGCTTTGACCATCAGTTGGTCGTAGACTCTTTACCTTGCTAGTTCCAAGGTCATCTAACAAATCTTTAGCTCCGGGCCCTGGACACCCTCACCAACGTCCTCAACGTCCTTAAAGCCCAAAAAATAGACATAACAACCCTAATGTCCACAATGTCCATCGATGATCTGCGCGCCCACCTCGTCGAAATCATCACCTCCTGCTCCCAACTCACCAACTCCAAACCGCAACCCATAACCCTTGAACGCGGCTTCGCTACCATCCCACTCAAAGGCATCGACGTCCCATTCCACAGCACTTTCCTACGCTCCGGCGTGAAGCCGTTCCGATCCTTCCTGCTCAAAAAGATTAACAAAACCACCATCGACCCGAGCAAATTAATTGGGAAGTATATTCCGAACGTCACTGCGAAGCCGTTCGAGTTGACTAAGGAGTATTTTGAGGATGTGTATAAGTTGACAAATTCGCCGAGGATTGGGGCTGTGCTTGCAAACTGGGGGAAATATGAAGACGGGGAGAAATAAACAGTTTAGAAACTTTTCACGAGTGGGAACGAATAGATGGTATATAGGCAAGGAGGAAGCTGAAGTAGAAAATATGTAGGCGTTGTTGTTTTATGCTCTATGTTTTAGATATCTTTACGTTTATGGATGATGTTTTCATTTTCAAGTTTTAATGTTGTGCTCCGATGTTCTGTTTCTATTTGTTTCCTTTTAATCCTACTTAATATATTTTTCCCGATGTTTATTTGATGTGTTTTTTTGAGTTTGACTGTTCTCGCTTACACGATGCGTTTTTATTTGTCATGATCCCTTCATGATTGTAGATAGATAGATAGATGTACGTAGATATACCACCCATAACTAACCCCAATTTAATACGGAGATAAAAAATAATATTTCAGGAAAGCTGGTGTTCAACTTCGTAAGTTTCCCAACCGTGTCCAAGTAAGATATGGGAGGTCGAGCCACAATAGCTATCCATGGAAAAACTGAAATCAATCCATAAGCCCCGGAAGGAAAGAGTATCTATCTATCGGGAATGATGAGGAAAGGGTAACTATGTCAGTTATCAAAATGCTCAATATCCACTCAGCGCAAGTCCATCAAAACTAGCCAGTCATTCATTATAGTTATAGGAAATTCTAGCCTAAAAAAACCCCAGATTGACAAAAAGAAAAGACACGAAAACGGCACTTAGCTCGCAAACTCAGTGCGCATCCCAATTTTCCTATTCTCCGCCTCTTTCCCGCTTTATATTATTTTATTTATCTTATCTCTCTTACTTGGTTGCTGCCACGATCCCGCAAACCAATACCTATATCCATACATATATGCCATCACGGTGTTCGAAATCCAAGCGTTTGAAACCACACACTCCCATTAAAGGGGGAGGGGGCAAAATATAAAGTATCAAGGTATTTCAAATCGACAATCACATAAAAACCAAGAATCACTCCGTTCCCTCCTTCAAAACGCCAGGTCTCAACAACTTATCCTCCTTCCCATAAATGCTCACATCTCTCACAATCGCAATGAACTTGCGATGATTCTCCTTCGAATCCCCAATGCGAGGGCGGAAAATCTTCAGCAGCTCGGCGCTGGCAATACCCGTGGCCGGGATGGCGGAGTGGATTTCCAACGCCGTGGGGAAGGCGAGGTTTGTGGATACAGGTGTAGTTAAACCGGGGGAGGAGGTGCGCGTTGGAGGGACTGGGAGATCGTTTACTATGTTAGTATAGTACGAATAGGTTTCGAGATGTAAAATATACATGAGGCATTGAACAAGAAAAAGGGACAACGGTCGTCGAAAGAGGGGGGAAAGATTGAGAATATGATATACCTGGCGAATTAGCTCTTGGACTCCCTGGACGCGAACCCCGCGGTGTCCCCATCTTCGACAACACACCTGGCGGGTTCAACTTGAGTTTCTTGGTTCCTGCCGCGGCAGAATCGCTCATCTCGGCCCCAGAGCCTGCGCCTCGTTCACCATCGCTGCCAGATCCAGGGGGCCCGTTTCGGCCACGTTTCTTGCTGGCCTGGTCTGCTGCTACGTTTGGCTTGCGCTGGCCGGAGGGACCTGGGGACATAGGACGCGACTCGACCTGGACATCGGTGTGCTTATTCTTGGGCTTTTTACGAGCGGTATCTGTGCCACTGGCTTCGGAGAGATTTGGGGAGCCGGGTCGTTTTCGGGCAGCGCGGGATGCGGCCTTCTTGCCGAGCGGGTCCGTGTGTTTTAGACGACCCGAAGGAGTATTCGTCCCTTTTGTTGATATACCGGAGTTCTTGTCAGATTCTTTGCCCTTTTCTTTCTTTCCGCGTTCCTCTTCGGGCTTTTCTTCCTTTAGTTGCTCTGTTTCGGAATCATCCGAGCTCTATATAGCGAAGGGTGTTAATTAGCTGGCTTTCCACAAACAAGATGCGCAGTCGAGAAGATGAATGGACATACCTCGTCAGAATATGGATTGGCATCTGAGCCACTGCTATAATCGAAATTCTTCTCCCTCCGCTGCAGAGCTTTCCGAACATGTTTTCCAAAATTTCTAAGGGCCTCCTTTTCTTTCTTCTCCTGATTTTCTTCTTCATCGTACATGCGTTCATCTTTCAGATCAAAGATGTTCGCCTTGAGTTGATCCTCTTTTATTCTCTTCTCAGCCGTCTTGGCATCTTCATCCTCGTCAAAGATGCCGACATGTTCTTCATCGTCAGCGAATCTGTCTTCCTCAAAATCCAAGTCATCTCCTTCAAACCCCTCGCTAACTCTTGTATGCCCTTCTTTCCTGCCGGTGAAGAGTCTACTCTGTTTCGCATACGCCTCCAGAGCTTTCTTCTGGGCTCTATCCTGTTCCTTCTCCATGAACCATCGGGGATCCTGAATCTTCTTCGCCATGAACTTCTCCGCTTCTTCAATGCTTAGAGTCTTGAAGGGAGTTTTGGTTGTGAACTTGTACCACTTGTCGAGGGGTACCATGCGCATCTTTCCATCATTTTGAAGCACGAACATCGCATACGTTTCGGACATCGCCGCTTCATAATTCCCAACCCAAGTACCTTTATTATCGAAATCGTCCAGATGCCAAGGCAATGCCTCCTCGTACTTAATCCTGGCTTTCACAATTTCCTCCGGATTCATCTCAGACTTGAAAACCTGCTGGGTCCGTTGCTTCAGCGCGTTCGTCTTTTTCTGTGTAGCCGCAGCCGACGGGGCAATCTGCGCCAGGTTGTCTGCCCGTTCCTTCTCTCTTGCGGCTTTCTTCGCCTCCAACTCCTCCCGCTCAGCCTCGTTGAGTTCACCGTGTCTCCGCGAAGGCTGATCATCTTTTTCAGACGCCGGTCCAATATTCGAAGCTCGAGGATCGCGCCGCTGCAACCGAACTGGTCGCGTAAACTGCGACTCATCTCTCGGGTCTATATTCTTCTTTGAGGCAAACTTCGCAACATGGTGTTTTATTCCCTCTCGCCAGGCGCGCTTGGTGGTTACCAACGGATAATCGACGTAGGTCTTAGAAAGTAACGGTCCGCTGAATCCATTTACGGTAAGGTCGTCTGCGCTAGGAATAGCAGGTTTGAGTTGTGTAGCTGAAGGTTGCGATCTGGGCGCTGTTTGCAGAGGTCGCGGTCGTGGAGATCCTACTCTCCCGTTTGCAACTGGACCTGCTCCGGGATGTCCTGGTCCTGGTCCTGGCGATAACGGAATTCGCTTCTTCTTGGGTCGAACCAACGGGTCAACCTTGAGTCGGCGGATTTTCATAGGCGGACCACTTGGGCCAGGAGGGGGTCGTGTCACCGGAGGCCGATTGGGTGGTGTTGAGCTCATTGTTTCGAGTTCTGCGTCGTTGAAGAGGCGATGTTGAGAATGCCTCCTTAAGCAAGGGGGAGCAGGCGAATTCAAAGAGGACAGTTGTTGGTAAATCCCATTGGGAAACGAGTGGTTCGTTCAGGACTGAGAGTTAACGTATGTGTTGTAGCGAGCTGCGAGTGGAGGTGATCCTTGACTTGGTTGGGGCAATGTAGCGCCACGAGAACACTATTATATTAACAGTCCTCACAACGATATACTAAGGAGGACAGCTTTGAATCGACAGCAGAAGCTGGACACCAACGATTCCATCTCTGGTGTGAATATGACGATGAATAAATAAATGATTTGAGGCCGTCGCGTTTGACATCAGAGCGGGTCATGTGATGGGCGACTAAACTCAAAAAGGCAATTCTCAACCTCAGCAACGTGGATAGATGTCCGATCATACGAGAGAAGGCGAATTCAGCGTGGGAGGTCTGGCAATAGGGAGGTGAATTTGCATGAGAATTGAGAAGGAAGAAGGCTGCGAATGATGTGAAACTAATAGTGGCTCATGCAACCGTGCTATGTACTATATATATATATGCATATAGCAGTTATATCTATTTCCAGCAGTACTTTACCCTGCGTGCTGGTAACCCAATCCCAGCCTCAGCCCAAACTGGTATGTACCTTTCAGGAATGAAACTCCATCCTAGTAATAAGCCATAAACACATCCTCACATCGTATCATATCAGTTCATTATCATGAAAGCTTGCATTACCTCGTTATCATCAATCCGCCCTCTTCAACAGCACCAATCTCACCAATCTCACCAATCTCGCCCATCTCGCCCATTTCCCCTCCCCGGCTCTTCCTCCTCCTCTTCCTTCTTTTTTTCCTCCTGACACCGGGTCCTCCACCACTCTTCCATCTCCTCAACATCAAAAAAGCCCTCCCCCTTCCTCACCACTGCCAACATCCTCCTCAACCTGCCCGGCTCACACACAAACCATTCTCGCCCCTTACAATCCTTCTCATACGCATTCAAGCTCACCCCTTCCCACTCGTGCGTCTTTAAACAGCGGAAAAGGCCCACCGTCCCCACCGGCGGGCTAAAAGCCGCCGCATCAACAAATACGCTAACAGATACACCCAATCGCTGCTGCAGCGCGTGGTTGAGGTTGTTCTTGTGGTTGGTTATCGTCGGATCCATGATGCGCAAATCGCGCTTCGGCGGCATCTGTGGGCGCTTGACGATGTCTGGCGATATCCAGGATATCACCGCAAGTACATCGCAAAGGTAGTTGCGTTTTGGTAGCGGCTTGGCTGGGTGGAGGAGTTGGGAGAGAGTGTGGAGGTTTAGGGGACGAGATACCGGCTCTAGGATGCCGGGGAGCTTGAACCGGCGATGCGTCGCGGTTCCTAACGGTGTGGATGTGTTATTTTTATTTTGTGTATTGAGATTTTGAGTGACTGTGTGCGAGGAGGAGGAGGAGGGTTCTTGTTTGATGGTTTCGGGTGGCTCTGGGTGTAGCGGCGAATTTGAGGGGCTAATGTTTGCAGTTGAAAGCTCCTCTAAACGGACGGATCTCTCCTGCTCCTGCATTGAGGTTGAGGAACCTGGCAGAACTCCGGGGCGCCCTTTGGCATCTTTCGTAGCATCCTGTATATTTCCAGAATCCGCATAGTCTTCGAACATCTGACCTCCAGAATCGAATATACCATTCAAGTTTCCAGATAAACAATCGGAAATTTCCACCAAGAAGCCATCTTCCCCATCACGACTAATATCCGCTGCACCGTCCGCATCGCTAATCCTAGGCGCTTTCGCCCCACGCCCAGTGCCACCACCACCATCGTCCTCATTACCCTGATCACCCTTTTTCCTCTTCTGCTCACCCACCCGCACCTCGACATCACCCCTCTCCAGCACCCTTGTTGCCCTCTCCCCAACACCCCTCTTACTCAGACACCGAAAACCCTCAACAGCGAGAAACACCACCTGCCCGGCGCCCTCGGCACCATCGCCACCACCAATTCGCTCCCCCTTCCTAAGCTCAAACCGCTCCAACCTCATCACAGAACCCACACCTACCTCTCCTGCCAACGCAAAGCGATGAAGAGCCTTGGCCAACAGCGCCTGGATAACCAACTCCCCATCGCTGAGGAATACGCGATATGACCTGCGATTCGGTCTTGCGGATGCGGCCGCAGCAACGTCAACGGCGGCGGTAGTTGTGGTGGTGCCAGTGGCATGGCCAGGGCCTGGAGTAAACAAAACTTCAATGACACGTTCGACGCGCAGGATTAGTTCTGAGGGATGATAGCCAGTGCGCAGGAGCTCTGCGATGCAGGGACGAATTTCAGCTTCGGAGGAAGTTGGCGTGGTGATGGAGGTGGCAGTGCGTGGGCGGTGGTGGATGGGCGGATAATCCTGTGGAGATGAGAGGAATGTTAAGCGTGCAAATTTTTATGGCCGATGGGAAGGGAACTGCCATCTCGACGTACCATGACAACCTGGTTGAATCCTCCATGGCGGGGACTGGCGCTATTGCTCCCGCGTTGTTGTTGTTGTCATTGATGAAATCGCAGGGGATTATAGCGGAATAAGGGGATGGTGAGAGATGAAGAGCTTCCAGCGGGATATTGATTATTTAGGAGGTTATGAGTGATACCACACCGGGGCCCTGAGCTGTTAATTGTTTGTAGTTGGGAAGGGTAATTTTGATGGTTGAAGCAATTAAGAGATTCACCAAAGTTACACAGGAAAGAGAAGGCAGGTTCAGCCGAGGTTGCGTGATGATGACTTGCATAGAAGCCTAACTAGCAAACTAGCTCCTAGAGGATTGACGCCGCTGGCGGCATTTAAGTTATCCGCGCGTTAAATGATATATGATCTATCCGGGAGTTTCATAATTGTAGGGTTGATAATTCCGAGCATACTGCGTACATGTGGGATTACATGTATACTACTAGCATATGCGCTGCAACTGAGCTCCAATAGCCATGTCCTCGACTTCTACGAGAGAACAAAGGCTGAATGCACTTGCACAACCTTCTATAAACAACTCGGATTCTTGAAATATCCCGGTTTATACCAAAAATCCCTGAATCAAAACACCTCCACAATTTGCTCATCCTCGTCAGCAACCCCTTTCTCAAACTCCGCCTTAGCCTTCGCCAACGCTGCATCTTCCCCCCCATTGGCTTCCCCTTCCTCATCCCTCATCAGCACCTGCACCAACCGGTCACACCCCTCCCGCGTCCCCTCATCGTCAACATGCAAATGACATTCCCGTATGATCGGATACACATTAACTGCCCTCATCAGCTCCCTGCCCTCCCTCGTCGTCGTCAGCAGCAGCAACGTCTCCAAATGTGTCGCGATGATATCCTTATCTGAATCCCGCTCCTTGTCCGGCGGTAGAAGCTGCAGATCCGGCAGCATGGCCGCGCTCTCTTCATCCGTGAATTCTTCGGGTCCCGCGACTGGCAACAGGAGGTACGGGAGGATGTTCACCCCGGACTCCGCGAGCAGCTGCGGGTGCGCCTGCACCTCGAACGCGATGTTCTTCAGCGTCGACGCCACGCCCTTTCGACGGATGTGGCTGCGGTGCTCGGTGAAGACGGTGAGTTTGGTGATGGGGATGACGGAGTCGTATTCCTGTCGAGTGAGGAAGTAGGCTCTACCTTCGTCGTATTTGGAGAGGTCGGCGAAGACGTAGGCTAGATAGTCGTAGTTGGAGTCAGCGGCCTTGTTGATGCCGCCATCCTGCCCCTTTATGAAGCAGTCCATTAATTGGTCGAGGGCATTCGGGGAGCCAGAGACATCCTTGGGCACGCTGCGGGTTAGGTTTATGATGCGCTTGAAGCTATCGGATTTAGCGAGATTGGCGAGGAGCATGGTGATTTCGTTGACGTGGGGTTCTTTCTTGTTCTGTTGTGCTCTGTGATTAGATATGTGTTTTCGCATTTGAACTGACGTCCCGGTTGGGAGTGGCGGAGAATTTGAAATAATTACCGTGACTTTACTCAAGAGGGTTTCCAGAAAAGCATCATCTTCAGCTAGCTCTTTGAGAACCTCGTCGTTGCCGGAGAGGTTTATCAATATCGTCAATGCATTTTTGGAGATTGGCTGTAGGTTGTTCTGGGGCGTTAATTCATTTATTCATTAAAGTTGAACGAAACCATTCAAAGGAATTATTGGGATATATATATTTGCGTATGTCGAAAGACACTTACAGTGTAGTCCCGAACAAGTAGTTTAAGATCCCTCACTGGTAGAAGCTGATGAACCTTGAACAGTGAAGGCTGAGATACCGAGAATCCAAGAAGATTTTCACATGCTGCGTGCTGTCAACTAACTAATCAACAACAAGCAGGAGAAGCAGAAAGGAAACGGCAAATCGAAACGAAGGACAAATTTCATGCCGGGAAACCAGCAAAGACACATTGCCAGAAGACACGATATGCAGGTATAAGAGTGGGCAACAGACCTATTTGCCGTATCTGGGAGTTTCCATGGTGAAGGAACTCTACGAGCTGTATGTGGATACGTAGCGAGGAGTCTCAGGTTAGCTGAAGCACGTTCCCTCCGTTCTGGATAGCTGGCAGCGGGGGAAACATTGCATACCTCCGCCAATTCAGAGGGCATACCGTCCGTTGCCCGCTATAGATGCGCGATGTTACACCGAAAGTCTAACCAATTTTGCAAATTACAGAGCTGTCGGAATACAAATTGGAGCGGCGACGGTATTCAAGGGGTATTTCTCTATAGCAAATAGAAAAATATGAAAATAGTAGTCTTTCCTGACTGATTTACATTCCAAGTTGATATCTACTAGGAATGTATGAAAAATGTATGGAAAATGACGCAAAGAATATTTTTTGGGCTTAGTCAGTCGGCCCTCACCCAGTCCTCTGCCCCGCCGCCTGCCTCTGATATAGATAGATAGGACAGTGTTTATTCCTCTTTGTATACGGAGTGGCCCTCATTCGATTATTTTCCGCAGCGATCTCAATTCTGGGTGCTGGGTGTCCTCACACCTCGGCATCCTCAGACTCCACAATCCACTCCGTCTTTGAATAATCACAATCAGGTTGTTTATAGTTAGTTAATAACAATTTCTGTTCAACAGAATTGAAGCCGTTGACGAAGCGAATACAGCCAACCAAAGATACACCCAAGAAATGAAATCCCCTCTAGGACGATACGACGCAAACCGCAGCAAAGCTCAGCGAGGGATGGAACACCGTTAGCCCTGGTCGTCCCGCACTATAAAGACACACCTTAGGAATCAACATTGCTTCTTGTGCATGTATGTATGATTATTACAAGTTGACACACCCCGCTGCGATCCAGCGATTTTGCGCAAATGGCACCAGGCTCTCAGTGCATGCGGCAAACAATGCAGCGCTGATTGGGACCTGGGGACTCGGGCGGTTATGGATTTATACTCTCCGCCGCGGGTTCTCAAGGGATGTTCTGCATAATGCATGAAAAAGCAATGCAAGGGTAAATTCCTTTTCTTCCTCTTGGCCATTATATCAAGGTTATCATCGTTTTGCAGCGGCGTTGAGAGATTTTGTTGACCATGATCGAGGAGGGCATTGGGAAACTCCGCTCCGGCTAACTACCTGCCTGTGGGGATGTCCTTTGCCAGAGAGATTTCTCAATTGTCAGGAAGACATTGATAAAGTAAAAATTACGGCAAATCCTTTCATTCACCCTAACGTAGAGAGGGACCCGGTGTATTTTCCCTGGGTTTTTGCGTATTTGTGTACTTCCACAGCTATAGTATCATGTCGGAATTGGATGGTTTCCGAATATTGCCACACAATTACTGGCTATCAATTGAGTAGTTAGCTAAGATAAGATGATTCTGATAACTACATGAAAAGATTGCAGTATTATAAAAAAAGAGGATGGACATACAAGTGAGATTAAGGAATTTCAAGCTGATACAATACTTAAACGTTGATCCGACAGATCTACCACTACGAGTACATATATATATATAAATATATATATATTCACTCATTCTAGTCATCTTCATCCATTCCCACGGTTTCGTATATCAATTGCGCATTTCAGAGCTCCAATCACCCCTCGTGCGCCGCTTTTCACCTCATTCGCCCTGAACTAGCTACACTTCAATCTTTAAATACTAGAATTCTCCGCTCAACCCCGCCAAGATAGGATTCGGAAAAAGCTCGCCAACGACGACAATGGCAACAAGCGCAGCCCATGCCTCAGCGCCCGATCTCCAGGAAATCCATGACTTCCTCATTGATCTGGCCACCCGGGCGGGGGCTGTGATCACCGGTGCGAAGCCATTGGTCAATGGCGTCGACTCCAAAAAGAATAGTAGGGCTGCTCCGCAAACTTCCAACGCCCGCCATTTGCTTCGCAATGCACCTGTACCTGTCCAGTACATTACATATCGCCTGATGATGCATATTTGTATGTCTACATATGGGTATATATTATTAACACTGCAATTTTTTGCGATACAGGCTCGGATCTCGTAACGGAATATGACCGCGCCGTCGAAGCGATGGTCTCCAAGGAACTCAGATCCAGATATCCCACATTCGAGTAATCTATTGATCTACCTCTACCCGTCCATCATTCAAATCTAACTCCCCTCCAGACCACCGCTGACCCAGAATTACATTGCTCCAACTCCAGATTCATGGGCGAAGAAACCTACCACCTCTCCTCCGTCCTCACGGATGCACCAACCTTCATCGTCGACCCAATCGACGGCACCGTAAACTTCGTCCACGGCTTCCCCAACTTCTGCATCTCGCTCGGCCTCACCGTCAACAGGCAGCCCGTCGTCGGCGTCGTCTTCAACCCGTCCACCGCCGCCCTCTACTCCGCCATCCGCGGCAAGGGCGCGTTCTTCAACCGCACCACCCAGCTGCCGCTGAAGGGCGCCGCCACCGAGCCGCTGCGTGGCCTCCGCAATGCGCTGATCGCGGTCGAGTGGGGCTCTGATCGCGTCGGGCGCAATTGGGAGACGAAGCTGCGTACCTACGAGAGACTGGGGAAGACGGAGGAGGAGGGCGGGGCGATGGTGCATTCCATGCGGTGCACGGGGTCTGCGGCGCTGAACATGTGCGCGGTTGCGACGGGGGCTCTTGATCTATACTGGGAGGGCGGCTGTTGGGCGTGGGACGTGTGTGCAGGTTGGGTGATCGTGACGGAGGCTGGGGGGCTGGTTGTCGATGGGAACCCGGGCGGGTGGGAGGGCCAGGTTGATGGGAGGAAGTATCTTGTCGTCCGGCCGTCGCCGAATGGGGAGGGCCAGAAAGAGATCATCGAGGAGTTTTGGAGCCACATTCAGGGGACCTTTGATTATTCGCATTGAGGGCGTCTCTCTTTTGTTTCTTCTTTTGTCTTTTTTTTTTTTTTTTGCCTTTACGGGAACGTAGAATTCAGCTGAGATGCGCTCCGAACACGCCCGGCAAGCCGTCATGCAGCTGAGTAGAAGGAACAGTGTGGTTGTGGTTTATGATTATGGCCCATCTCCAATCCTGTTCATTTCTACTATGGGGAATACGCTCTTCATGTGCCATTGTTTGTGATTTCGACAATATCAAAAAGAGAAAAAGACAAGGCGGGGGAAAACGAGAACTAGCTAATCACTTAGGTAGTGGCTTGCTGGAGCATTCAGATAGATACAAGTTTTTGTTCCAGGATATAGATAGACGAGGAGGGTGAGTTTTTAGACGATAGGAACTGGTTCTAAAGAAGGCTGGAAAAAGGTAACTATCATAGAATAAGTACTAGTATTCTGTCTTTTTGAAATACCTACTGTATACCATGGAGCCAATCTATATCGGAATACATTTGCAGCCAGTCAAAACGGGCTATCAGCGCTGTATGAATCGCGGATGGATTTGGATTTGTCCCACCACAATCAAGCAACGTCACATCATTCTTGCCCAAACCAGCAGCAAAATGTCTTTTTCGCTAAGTCCAATCTGCAACCCCTATAAAAAAAAAATAGCAGAGAAACTGAATCCTTCGAAGATAGTAATTTAAAAAAAGCAGCCAACAGCTACTAGCCAACAGCCCCGTTTCGATTCCGGAGTTCCGTCTATTTAATTAATTGATGAGATCAGATAGCCACTAACTTTCCTGCCTGATCCCATATTGATACCCTGACAGCGAAATGACGAGAACGATGATTGAATCGACCAGGACTCAGCTCGGCATGCCTCATCATCTGCCAGCTGGCCAGCTGCTGTTGGCTCGCCATGAGCCCGAAGGCGTGGCATGCAAAGCTACCCGCTTGCTTCACCACTCAGTTTCGCCCTGCGTTTCTTGTATCTTATTCTTTTTCAATAAGGAAAAGAATAAGAAAGAAAAAAAGAAAAGAAAAGAGAAGAAAAGAAAAAGAGAAGAACATGCAGCAGCTCTAACTAGAGAGTAAAATGACCTAGTATCTCAACGCCATCGCCAAGGGCGAAAGGAGCGGTTGGGTTGCGATTCGGGCATGTTTCGTGGGTATGGAGTCATCACCAGCACCATCACCAGCACCATCAGCATCATCATGGTCCAACCATCGGTCCCTCTTCCCCAACTTGTTCCTGCGACCCGGTTTGTCCACATCTCGCAAACGAACAGTTCATGCGACCCTCGCTGGCTGGCGGACTGGTGACATGGGTGCTTTGCTGTGGTGGTGTGAGGAGGGGCGTCTCCATTGCCCAATTGGAGTTTCCTCCTTTCCAGTTCTAGTATCCCATACCATTTGACTTACAGCGAAACTCTGGATTGGAGGCCCGGCGCGGGTCGGCAAAATGAAGGGGGGGAGATGAGGGATGTTGAAAACACAAGAGTTCGACTTCTCTTTGACCTTTTCTTTGCTGCTCCCTTGCTTCGGACTCTCTGGAAAAGCTACTTCCCGAGGAGCCTCTAGACACTGAGGACCAACTTCTCCATGGGGGAGGGGCAAAACAAGCATAAACCTTTCACTGCTCTCCTGGCATCTACCAGCAGCAATGAAGGTTAAGGACGCGAACGAGAAGAGAGAACCATTCCACCTTCATAACTCTCACAAATTCGCGACCTATTCGAGCATGGCTCCTCGCATTCGAAGTCTATTTTTCTTTACTACTAGCGGAACTGAAGGACGAACGACCAGCTCGAGAAACCCAGCGCGTACTGCATCGGTTTTAGATTCGGAACACAATCACTGCCAACGTCGACGACTGTCTAGTCACCCTAAGGAAGGAGACGAATATAGGCGCCATCGACGCAAGTCTCATCGAACCCATTCTACGGAGGAGAAGTCCGAAAATGTCTCCCGAGAGAACCACAGGTCCCAGAAAGATTCCGCAACTCCCAAAAAGACTCATTCTCGCAGAGATCTCTCATCGACCGTGTCAATGTCAATGCCAGTAAACTCAAGCATTATTAGCACAGCCCGTCCAACGGTGTCTTCTAGAGGAAAGATAAAGGAATCGGTTCGCAGGGATCCCCTCAAACGAAGCGCTACACAACGCGCCGTAGCGGAATCGTGGATGAAACCCAGTCCTTCCCCAATATCCCTCCCTCTTCGACTCGGTGAGCAGTCGGATTGGAACCTTGCAAAAACGGCTATCAGGTCATCAGCCTCAAAAACCAAGTCTGGAAAACAAGTGTCCCCTGCAAAGCAAGGGAGAAAGGGTGGGGGATTCAAAAAAATTACGTCTCCCACATCGGTGCCGGAAAAGACGTAAGTACTGTGCCTGCTCATTTACCCAACTGTGAGACTCTCTCTTTTTACCATGAACGCTTCTCTTCCCCAATTTGACCATTCGAGTATAGAGTTACATGCTTAACGTGTTTCGACGACATCCCCGTGAGCAAAGCCGCCCAGCTTTCCTGTTCCCACAGCATGTGTGAAGACTGCCTTAAGCGTTTGTTTACATTGTCTGTAACTGACCCGCAACACATGCCCCCAAAATGCTGCACAACGGATCACATTCCCCTTAAGCACGTCGACAACCTATTTGACATAGAATTCAAGATCAAGTGGAACAAAAAATACAAGGAATACACCACCAAAAACCGATTATACTGTCCTTCCAAAGGTTGCGGAGAGTGGATCAAGCCCAGCAACATCCATATCGACACCGGCGGCGGCGCCACAGGCGGCCGCAGATTCGGCATATGTGTGAGCTGCCATACCAAAGTATGCGGGCTGTGCAATGGAAAATGGCATATCGATGGCGAGTGCCCAAAGGACGATGAGATGAAACGCTTCGTCGAGACAGCCAGGGAAAACGGCTGGCAGCGTTGCTACAGCTGCTCGGCCATGGTCGAATTGACCGAAGGCTGCAACCACATGACCTGCCGCTGTGGAGCTGAGTTCTGCATCGTATGCGCTGCTAGGTGGAAGACGTGCGCGTGTCCCTGGTTCAATAACTTCAGGCACATCTTGATGGAGGACCCAGACGATGTAGTTCCCCCGCAGGTCCCGCTACCGCAGAACAATCCGTATTTTGATCCTGTGGATTTGGCTACTATTGCTGCTGCTTATTATGGGCAAATTCATGTCGGTTACCTGGCGAATCCCAATGAGCCGCTTTTCCAACCGAGAGCGGGGCGTGAGGCAGTGCCGTTTGGGGCCAATGCCAATGGAGGTTTCGTCGCGCCATTTGAAGATATGGGCGGTTATGGTGAAGTTCCTCAAGCTGCTCCGGTTCACAGATAGCACCATTAACAACTTGGTGTGCCACGGTTCAATGATAACCCCCGTTTAATATTTGGTATTAAGCTGTGCCCTCAAAACAACGGTTTCTTAGGGATAGTTGGGTAAAGGCAATTAGAGCTGGGGACGAAATGGACTGGAATCGGAGGCCTTGGTTTACATCGTTATTTGTACTATAGATACATTCGCCTTTAATAAATACTCTCTGTGGCGTTCTTTTCCCTCCCCAATTTTACCTGTACTTTGCTATTTATCTTCATTGGGCGTCTAGTAAAATACCCCAAAATATTCCGGAGAAAATGGTGAAAATACATTCCCTTATATATCCAGATATATATGCATTTATGTTCTGATTAGTCACTCAACCGTCTTGCAGACTAAATTTTTCCGCCACTTCATGACTGCTACTTACTGCCTTTGCGACATTCCTACCAATAATGAACACTAACAGTTGGAATGTCCATTGCCCTGCATACAAGAATGTCTATTAGACTAGGCTCTCTTTTAGACTTTGCACAGGCTCGATATGTCATCCATCTTTCTGACGGAAAACGACTAGTCCTTTTCCGTTTGCCATCGATTGAGCCTTCATCCACATCCGTGCCCAGGACCAACGAAACACAAGATGGGTGGTCATACTATGCCATGGAAGCAGAGTGCCCTCATGCTGGGGGACCCATGGAAGAATCCCATGTCGATATTGAAGATTCCGCCTATGTGGTCTCTTGCCCCTGGCATGCATACGACTTCAACGTGGAGACTGGAGAGTCCAGTGTTGGGATTAAAACCTGCACGTTTCCCATTGATATAAAAGATCAGGTTGTTTATTTGCAATATAACGTAAAGGATGGCGGGGTAGGTGATGTGGTGCTGAGCAAGGTGGAACCTGTCAGCGAGAAGGTCATGTTAAAAAATCGTGAAAAGCGCGTGAAACGAAAGAAGAAGCAACCAGCGTCGCCGGTGTCTACAAGTACCAATGATGTTATTTCTCATACGACCTCTGAGGATATGGAAGAAGAGGAGGGGGAGGGGGAGGGGCTGGATGCCTACAGCATCCCTCGTTATCTAGACGAACACGCTACATTTTGTGATTGGGCTGTCCACATCCTGAATACAGCCAACCCTGAACACAAAATCGAACTAACAACACATTTTTTCTCTCTTTTCGCTCAGAAAGAGACCTCTCCCACCTCGATGGCCCTGGGGCGGGGAACCGTGACTCCCCCAGACCAACCTCCCCGCCCAGAGAGCTTATCAGAGGTCAACCCCTGGGAAGCCCCCAAGCCTGGCAGAGGCGGGAACCTAAAAAGCCGAATCACCATGTTACATGCCCTCGCCAACATTGAGCTCTGGGCAATCGATCTCGCCATCGACATATGCGTACGATTCTCCACGTTCCGAACAAACACGGAATCAAAACGGGAACTTCCCCGCACTTTCTTCCACGACTTCCTTAAAGTCGCCGCAGATGAGGCAAAACACTTCTCGCTCCTGCGCACGCGCTTGGAGCAACTAGGCTCACGCTTCGGCGCTCTCCCCGTTCATCACGGCCTCTGGCTCTCTGCCACGGAAACCGCGCATGATATCCGCGCCCGCATCAGCATTATCGCGCTCGTGCACGAAGCCAGGGGCTTGGACGTCAATCCTATGACGATCCAGAAATTCCGTAATGCGGGTGACATGGAGAGCGTGGCGACGTTAGAGATTATCCATAACGATGAAATCACGCATGTTACGACCGGGCATAGGTGGTTGACTTGGATTTGTGAGCAAGAAGGGGCGGATGCGGTGCAAGTGTTTAGAGAGAATGTGAAGAAACATTTCAAGGGTGCACTTAAGGGGCCGTTTAATGAAGAGGATAGGGCCAAGGCTGGCATGGACAGGAGGTGGTATGGGGAAAGGGATAATAGTGGTAGTCCTACAGTGGCGGTGATGGCTTCCTAGGAACAACGCATGGGATGAGACAAACCAAGATGTGAGATTGGGTCAATGAGAAATGAAAGCCTTCATTTTAAACTATTTACCATGACTTCACCCACATAATCCCAAAGTCGGTAGAGCAAGTTCGCATCATCAGAACATGATATCCGCCTGTTGGCAACAACATTAACACACTGGCTACAATCAACAGGAGGCAACAGGCGCTATCACCGCCCACACAAGATCTCCCATGCAAAAAATTGTTGGCTTGAAAAAATGGAAAGAAACAACAAAACCAAAACCAAAAGGACCATGAAACTACCCCTTCATCGCCGCAGGCCACGGTGGCTCCTGCTGAAAGTTCAAATTCGACCTGGCTGACCAGTCCTAGTTGGTCTGTTTCCCTAGAAAACCTCGAGCTACCTATTCAAATCCCGTTGAAGAGGGACATCGTCCGAATTATACAAATGCACAAGTATCCCATGGACTTGCCACCGGAACATACATATATCAGCGTACATAGCTTAAACACCTATATTCGCGACGCATTGAAATAGACGATGAATGCGCAAGTAGCACCCTCCATGTCCCTGACTCAACGGGGGGGGGAAGCAGATATTCTTCTGCAAATCTTGAAAAGCAATCGGAGTCTTCACTAACGACAAAACCAACATACAATGGGTGGGCACCATTAGTACAGCTCCGCCATTCACATTCCGGTCAAACCTCCTTCCCACAGAACTTCGAAAGAAAATAAAAATGACAGATGTGCGAAATCTTCTCAAGCACACGAGGCAGCGGGAATTGTTATGCGTCCGTCAAATGCTTGGACAACGGCAAATAGCTCAACGATCCGCGCATTGGCAAATCCTCGAATCACTTTCTCGATGCAGCATGGGTATTATGAGGGGAAGGGGCTTACTGAGCCGATCCCGCAAGTTGGCTCGGTGGGCAAGTGGATGGATATCCTCCGTTTCTGCGCTGGCGAAGAATTACCCGCTCAGCCGTGAATTCCCAAAACAATTACATCCTCATCAAGTAGAGATAGATCATGCTTGACGTTGTGCAAACATGTACTTTGCACATGCGGTATACATTGCCTCTCTCTCTCTCTCTCTCTATATATATATATATATAACTCAGGGATAACAGAGAGAGAGAGCGTGTGAAATGCACGCCTTCAACTCATGAACTCATATGGCCGATGGTAAGATCTAGAAGAACAGCAATGAATGATCTAGGGCCAACGGAAGAGAGCAAGAACCGAAGCAGTTAATCTAAGCGGGTTTATAGAAAACGACAGAAACAGCTTAAACTCCCCCCCAACTGTTCAATTAAGTGAGCGGGTCTCGTACGCAGCCACGTAGTATTTATATAAAAGAAAAGGGTATTTATTATACCAAAGTGCGATCATGGAAATCGAAAATCCACCAAAAGAGCTCCCAAGAGCCAAAAAAAAAAAATACCCCGACCCAACGTCACCTTCATGATTCCGCCTCGTATTATGATTATAATTATGATTATTATTACTAAATTATTTAATTCTATCCCCCAATCCGTCCATTTCCAACGCCCCTGGTCGACGCAGCAGTTCTATAAACTTCGCAATCCTCCGCTTTACTCATTCCTCTAGCATCAACTTTCGTCACCGGAGACTTCTATCGGCTCGTTACTCGCAAAATAACATCACTAGCTGTCAGCTGCTGACAACGCACGAATACCACTTCCAGCAAAATGCGCTTCGTCCTGCGAGTCATAACCCTCACCGTCCTCGTCGTCGAAATACCGATCTGTCCATCGAGAGGAGTCTGCATGGGAAGTCTTTGATTGAGAAGAGGACATTCGGCTGACAGACATGGGCGGCTGGTGTGGGTCGATAGAATTAGTGATGTCCGTCTTGGCATCTGGTAATATGCGGTTTGGGGTAGCTGGGGACAACAGGGCCCGCAGTGCGTCCATGGTCTCTGATGACTCAGGTGGGTGTTGGTTCTCGGGCTTTGGTTGCTGGATAGTTAGCGTTGATGATTTGCCCGGCGGATCAACTTGGCCAATGACCTCTTTGCCGGATTCAGAGGGGCTGCGGCTTGTAGGCATAGCACGCTCAGCACCGCTCTCAAACTCGTCTGCCGTCTTTGCCGCGGTTGTGTTTGCAAAGTGAGTGTCGACGAGGTGTTTGACGACGGGCCAGCCATACGCGTTTGCAAACATACGACGCACTATAATGTTGTTGTGTGCGTCGGGCTCAAGGCGTACAAGAACTTTGCGCCAGGATAAGTCGCGATGATAGGCGCGAGCGATTTTCTCCTCGACTTTCATGCCACTGGTTGTACCAAGGACCGAATCGGAAGTCGTTTGGATTAGTGAGCTATTAGACTGGTTATCTATACTTTTCGCCGTCTCGGTAGGTGAAGGAAGGCTACTGGTGCTAGAAGTTGGAAAAAAGCTGCGATTCTTTTTTGGGGGCGGCGGGGGTATATCCGATGGGTGGTATACGCGATCATGGAAGATAGTCCTGGCACGGGTTGAAGGGTCCAGGATGTACTCTGTTGAAGGTAGAGGCGGTTTGAGGACATCGCCCGCCGCTTCTAGAATTGTTGTCTTTGGCGGGGCGTGGTGGCCATCCTCCGGATGAAAAGAATCGCCTCTGGCTGGTTCGGCGCGTGGAGAGCGGGAGCGACCGTCCGTCCATGGGGTTTCGGCCAACTCATTGTTACCGACTGTCTGGCTCCGCCTATAGATTTTTGAGCTTTTGCTTTGATTGTGGCCTTTTCCCTGTGGTCTGAACAAGGAAAGGAAACCGGCGAATGGATTCGGATAAGAGCGTGGAGCCAATTTAACGGGTTGCGTATCACCCGGTGGTTCAGTGTTACGAGCAACAGTCAAAAACTGGGACTGTTTGGGAAGTTCTGGACTGGTTTCGAAACTTCCACTTGGTCCCTCTGGGCTCTCAGCCGGTGGCTCTGGGATTTCGCCTTCCTCTCTCTTAGTTGAAGGGATCAACTTTCCATTTTTAACCTTATCGTCCTCGTTGTCGTCATTGGCAGAATTTGTAGGTTCAGAGTTTGTAGGGCGTTTAGTTGAGCGAATTGAATTTGTATTAACGTTAGCTCCCGTAATCTCGGCCCAACCCCACTCGGCCATGGTTCCGACCCAGCCGCTTTCTCGTCTAGCCTTCTCAACTCGATCTAGGCCTCTCCAATCTAGGAAAAGGAGGCAAGAGGTTCGTAATGGGACAATTCCGTCATTTACAACATTGGAGTATACGGTACGATTTCGAAATTTCTTGAGAACTTGGTGAGCAGGGCCGCTCGGAAGAATCCTGAGAAGTGGTTTTGATTTGGGATCCGCATGATGGGTAGCGGTAGGAGAATCATTTCCCAATCCTCCTATCATCGCACCCCATCCACTTCGCATTTTTGTCGGGGCAGTCCATGACAGACCAAGGTCTTGACCGGTGCGACCAACGAGTCCAAAATCTAAAGCGAAACGAACGTAGATCGGGTTTTCATTGCTGAGACCAAGAAATGGGGATGCAAGAGCAACGAAATTGATAGGCTTGATGCAGTCAAAAAATTCAGGAGAATGTTTTTGTATATAAGCAATGGCATACGTTTGGACGAGGCCGCCAAGAGAGTGTCCTATAAAACTGATACTCGTTATCTGGTAACCGTAATCGTTTTTCTTCGGCTCGTGCCGATATATTGTACTTCCAGAATGAGATGCACGGCCACTCGAGCCTGTGGAATCTTTGTTGCCAGCAAATGCCCGAAATTTGCTGCGGGATTCTTTGAGAGGAAGATATGGCTGATCCGGATAAGTCATGAGAAGGACATATTTCGCTAGCCTTTTCCCCAGATACTGAATACCCCTTTCGGTGCGAACTACATTTCCGGGGAATCCGCGTACAATAACATGCTCGTCATCGTCGTCATCTTCTTCTGAAGCAGTATGTTGTCTATCTACCGAGGGTGTATCGGAAGCATCCTGGGTAGATACAGCTGGCTGTGAAGGCTGTGAATTCTTTGCCTTCTTTCGCTCGTTCCGCGCATCTTCCCGAGCTTTCCTTGAAGCAGCATCTATACTCTCCTTAAGATATAACATATCGGCCCCTATGTTACTATGTAGTCCATGCGTTAGGACGACGAAATGAACTTTTCTCCGTTTTTTTCGGTTTTCTGCTTCCCCAGCCGAGTTTGCATCGGAAACTTTCTGAGATTCCGTAGCAATCTCCGTCTGTTCCATTTCCAAGTTTCGAAGGTCCTCCTTCTCACTCCAGGATGGGAATCGCGGTGTACTCCATAGGCTTGCTGTATCATCAATAACTAGTTTGACTGCCGTGGAGTATACCCCTTTCATGGGGCCTGGGGGATTTTTATGTTTGCTCTTTGAGTTGCGTCTGGCAAGCTCGCGAACATGACCCGGAACAGGCAAGCTCGTTGAGTTTCCAATTCCAAGTTCCAAGGACTTCAGGTCTCTCCCAACGAGGACCTCGAAGTTTACAGCCGCTGTAGTTGAAAATATCACCTGCGATGCGATTTCGATTATCCAAGTAATGCTCTGTTGATCTGCTGCGGAGGTCGACGACTGGACGTCCTCTGGCACTGGGATCACTGAGTCGAAAGCCCCGCCCGCTTTCAGGTTTGGTTCGAATTGCGGGAGCCCGCGGGTTTCATGATCCTCGTATTTCCGGTTTGGGTCAAAAGATGCAGGGTAGCAGGAAGTATATAGAGTGTAAGGGCCGTGCAAATACGCGGCGCGCAGCGGTATCGCAGAGGTATTTCTAACCTTGACGAAGAGCTCCGTAGGTGTGGGGAGGATGCGATCTGCAGAAGGGGTATACGTGAGCGTAAACCTGATTGTTCCGAATCAGCATGAAACTTTGTGGTTTTTTTTTTTTTTTTTTTTTTTTTTTTTTTTTTTTATTGAAAGGTTCAGGCAAAATTATACCGGACCACTTCCCCAACACGGACACTGCCAACCTGATGCACTAGCAGCATCTCCGCTGCTCGTTCGTATTCCGCTGGCTCAACGTCCCAGCCAGTCAGTGTACTGAAAGATGGGTGGTAGGAGAAAGGAGCCCGCAAGCCGTTATCTGGTATCTGCGCCAGCCGATAAAGACGCGGCGTAACAAGCATGGAGAGCTTTGCGAACCTCACAGATCGCTCTAACGATAACGGCTGGGCCGGGGTGCATTTATCGGGCCGTGCATTAGAGCACCTTGGAGTTGGCCAAAGGTTGGTTGTGAGATAAGCGCAGTCGCTCTGAACATCGTCTACCAGAAACAGGAGCTATGAAAACAGCGACAGCAGCAGCATGCAGCCATTCCACGTACTTTCTTTCTCCCGTCAGCACAGCAAGTGGGGGATGGAAAATGCAGAACGAGCAGGTGAGGATGCGGATGAAGATCGTTTCAAGATTTCATGTGACATACAGGCTGTGTCACCGGGTTACGCTCGGATCTCGTAACGGTAAATTACCATCTCCGGCTGTAACCAATGACGTCATTCCCGTCTCCCGTTACAGACCCTTCTCCGCCGTTTCTCCGCCCTTACAAACGGTCTTCCGCTCTCCGCTCTCCGCCCACTGCTTCTTCCGCTGAAGTTGCTGCCCACTAAGAAACCGGTCCCGGCCTCCGGACCGTATTTCAATACCTATGGTTTCCCCTGCTAAGTCTCCCTGGGATAGCTGCTGCCCTATTGTTCTCGGCAAGTTGATATAAGGGCCGCGCATTGGATATACGTACTGCACACCATACTCCATGGGCATCGAGCATGACCTTTGTTTCTAGTAGATAGAAGTTCCAGGCTTATGCTCATATCATCTATGTATATATATAAATATATAATATAATATAATATAAAACCAGATCTAAGACTAATAATAATTCCCGCGTATATGGAGGACACATCGCGTATAAAAGCTCTATAAGTAGCCCAACTGCATTCCCGATAAAACCAACAATCCCCCAGCATATTCTAGTTAATATATCTCCTCTCGCTGTTGTCATCAACTCCTTTCCCTTCAGGCACAACTAACCTCACAGCCTCTCTCTCCCCCTTCCTCACCTCCACCCACCCACCATCCTCCACTACCAGTATCATCCCATCAATGCAAATCCGCCTCCACCTTTCCTCCGTTTCCCCTTCACAGAACTCGATCCTAACAGCCTCAACCTCCTCATACCCTACCACATCGCGCATGTCAACCACATGCCGACCCTCATCATACGCTAGCTGCATAACCTCCATAACAGCCTCCGACTTCAGCGGCCCAAAATGCACAAACCACAACCTCCCATCCAACGGCCTGGACGCAGGCGATATCATAAAGCCTTTTTCCAGCGCCGAGCAGAGCGTGACAAGTACATACATATGCTCACTCCGCTCCAGCAGTCGTGTCCGTAGCATGTCCCCCCCAGTCACCGCATCTGTAGTTTTCGTCGTGACGCTGATCCTGCCCCTATAAACATGCGGGCTACTCCCGTCAGCGGGAAACAGCAACCCCTTCGCCGCCATCTGGAACCGCTCCCGCCCAAAACGGCGGTATTCAGGCGTATCGCTATCTGCCACGAGCGACGCATGCATCCCCCAACTAAGCACAACAGCACCATAAATCTCGGGGCCACCGCCACCACCCCCGCCCTCGCTACCACCACCGCGACCATCAGACACGAAAACAGGCTCCCGCCCCCTTCCCCCACCCGTCACATACTCCGCGCCCCTCGAAGTCCGCGCCGCAAACATCGGCAACCGCTTCGCCACCCCGCTCACCAACCCCCGCAAGCCCATCGTCGCATCCCGCCCCGACACAATCCCCGCAGAATGCGCCGTTGCATTGCCTGTCCCCATCGGCACCAGCGCCACAACAGGAGACACAAAGTCGTCCGCAGCCCTAACGGCCGTCAGGCCCTGTATGAGCTCAACCAGCCCGCCATCGCCAGCCAGGAGAATGATGGTCTGCGCGATCCCGCGCTGGGCGCGCGGGCGGAAGATGGTTTGCGTGAGGTGGGTGATTGTGTCGGCGGAGGAGGTGATGTGGGTGCAGTAGTCCTGGTATTCGTGGAGGTGGAGGGTAGTGAGGAGGGGTTTGAGCAGGGTGGTGTAGAAGAGGGTGGCTTGGTGGGTGCCGGAGAGGGTGGAGATGATGATATGGAGGCTGTTGCGGTCGGCGGGGTTGGTGGAGGAGGAAGCCGATAGCTTGGCGGGGTAAAGATGGGACTGCGGACTGCCGATGAACTCGCGGAGTGATGCGGGGCATTCCCCCGCCGCCTCGAACCGTTTCAGCACATATGGATACTCAGGCTGCTTCTGCTTATCTGGTAGTCCGGCTGGGGGAGGAGGGTCTGAGGCTTCCAGCCAGATATACGACGTGAGCCTCGAGTCTTCAGGACAAGGAACGACCGCGACGATGCGGTCCTCTTGAATGACTGCTTGTATCTTGCCAGAGCCATGCTTCTCCTGGCCCGTTGGTATGTATGCTAGGCTATTCGTAGACGTGTTGTGGGAAACATGCTCGATGTCCACGAGACCCTGAGAGAGTATTGACATTGTTAGTTCGAAGGAACTTAGCTTGACCGAGAGCGTTTGAGGTTCAAAGCCTCATGCAAGACAAGGAAGCTTAATGGTATACATTTATTTACATCCTAGAAAAAATAGTTGACAGTAGGCAATATAACCTCATTTATAATCCCATAATCCAATCCTACAGTATACGAACAACCTGGCGGTTCACGAGACATATTCTAACCACAAGAGAGAAGAGGGGAATATAAAGAATATAAACATAAAAACGAATAATATAAATCCATTTTATTTGTGAAGCCTAGTTCTAGTTTACGGGTAACTATTGCTATTTATTAGAAGAAAGATACAGAAACAGCCGCCCATGCAAATCCATTTCGCACCACCCAGCCACCGAAATCTTCATCCAGCCCCTCCACTTGCTTTATTTTCTTCTCTTTAACTCCCTCCCATAGTTATATGACCAATGGAAATATATGATACACATAAAACGATTAACAATGAGAAGTAAAAGTCACCCAACACCTGATATTGTGACACATCCTTTTCCCCCCTCGCTCGCTCGTTCACTCACCCACTGTCCGCAACAGCAGTCTCCTGCTCCTCATCCTTGAAATACTTCGCCGCCGCAAGCTTATCGCTCAAATTGACCGCAATAAATGACTTGGGAAGTTTCACCCTATAACGTGCATTTATCGCATCCAGTTAGTTAAACCCGAATACGAGATAAACATTGCTGTCAAAACCCTCCCACTTCCCCTGCCCTTTTACCACAAAAAAATAAACAACCGAAAAATCAAAGAAAAATAAAATTACTCACGTATCAAACTTCGCCTTCAACGTCTCAATAACTTCCTTCCAATCCTGATGCGCCGTCAAGCTTCTTCGCGGCGCACACCCAATCGCATGCCTTGAATCCAACTGCACGTCTAGCGGATCGAACGTGTGGCACCCAGGGCTAATAGAGATGCGAATGGAATATGAAAACATCGCCGACTCACTATCCTGCGCTTCGTACAACTCGAAGCAGATTTGGGAGAGGTAATCCAACTCGGGGATGGCGCGGCGTGCGATCTTAGTCTGAATGCCTCCTTCCAGAATACAATTCAGAAGAGTGTAAATGTGTGATTCTTTAGTAAAGTAGAAGAACGATTTGGCGTCCGGGGATGCTTGGACTTCTTCTAGATCCATAACTATCTCCCGTAGCAAGGGGAGAGAGGTCAATAAGCCGATTTCGAGCTTCTCATCATCATCAATTCCGTATTCTTGCGGGGTTACGAAATCGAAAAGCACCTTCGCGAGTTTGTAGAGTTGGCGCAGCCTTGAGAGCCTCTTGTCGATTTTGGTCTTCGTCTGGGCGCAGCCGGGATATAGTTTGAAATAAGAGTCATACCAATCTTCCAACGGCCCAATAGGTTGCATTAACGATAAGTCCAGAAGGGATCTTCTTTTAAGCCCGAGACGCTGAGCGAAAGTGTTGGAATTGTGATGTTTGTCGTCACCTTTATCACCTCCTCCATGAAAATCACCGCCGTTGCTGTTGCTCCGATCGTTCAATTGCTGCTGTTGAGATCCCTGTGGCTTATTGCTACCCGATTCAACACTCTCCAGACTGGGAGGGTTCGGTTTATCATTCGGAGAGCCCTGGCTCGAATATTTGGAGCCATCTCCCTTAAGCATGCTATCAGGGGGCACGAATACCCACTCCAGGAACTGACGGTTATGCAGCGCGTCGAACTTCATACTATCGTACAGTTCGGACAATTTGCTAGGGTCAACTTTCTCGGTATCACAAAACTCCGCAAATAGTTTCTCCCATCTTTCTTTGAACAGTTGGGGATCTTCTCCAGCACACCAACGTCCTTGAATGGAAGCAAGGGTTGGTGTGTCTTGATTACCATTTTTGCTTTGGCCATCAGAGCCGTTTCCGGAGGTGGAGCTTAGCTCACTCTCAAGCCTTGAGAAATTGTACCTCATGACTTTTCTATGGAACTTCATGAGTTCAACCACAGTTGACAGAACAATTGAGGGTTCAGGAAAATTATCCTTTGGCCATGCAAACTGAGGCGGGGCGGAGTTTCCCTCCCTTAAAAGTAGCTTGAGCTTCTTCTTGACTTTGTCCATTACATCCTTTGCAGCATTCGAATCATCAAGTAGATCCTTTCTCACTTGGATGAAATCTTCAGGCAAGTTCTTCTGGTCAAGGAACGCGGAGGCAAATATTTGTGCTAGAAATTTGTTGTTTTCAAGGTCAGAAGAGCTTTCTACATGTAAATAAAAGACCGATAGTTCTACGAAACTTACCACTTGTGCTGACTCTCCTCTCTGAACTGGTAAATATCCGGACATCATTCAACGCCTCCTTATTCATAAGCTTCAAGTCATCCCTCATATTGAGTCCCACATCCTGCGACTGGTACCGCGCAGCATGTGTAGGTTCACCGCCCCATTTAATCACTAATTGAAGCTTATCTAAAACCAAATCATTCTCCACGGCCGAAAAACGGGAGAAAGTCGGACCAGACAGAGAATTACTTCTACTCTGGGAGAGCGAAAATTGGTGGTCCTCGTTTGCTCCTCCGGCGCCCGTCCTCTCTTCAAAAAGTTTACCTCCGGCAGGGTTTTCAGAGACAGGGCTCAAGGGGTTAATAGAAGGGCCTCTATTCCGCATCTCATCAGGATTTCGGCGTCTGAACATCGGCTTGATCTGGACTTTCGTTCCCGGCCACCCTCCCTTATGATGAAGTGATGCTTGAAGGAGTTTAAGCTTTTCAACATCCTCGATACCTTGCTCCATAGCAATAACAACCGCGTGCAAAACACTGCGTAAGGCCAATTCCCCCTTTATTACAACTTCTTCTTGATGTCCCTTCAGAAGGTCAATAAATGGTTGCGTATGGAAAGTAAATTTGAATTTCTGCTTTGGGGTCCGATCGGCATGGCGGATTACAGCGACCATCCCTTTTAACTTCCACGAATGCTTCGATGCCGGGGGCGGAGCGACAATGGGCTCCGTCGGAGAGGGCTGAGTTGAAGAGATGCCATCTGTTGATTTCAAAGTATGCTGCCTGTCGAGCTTGGTGGAAAAACCCTTGGAATGCGGTATCGAGTCAGTTGCATCAGAAAAGTGTGTCGGCAAGGAGCTTGGCGCGGGAGTCGTCTCTGCAGAAACACCCTGCTGGGGTTTTTGATTGTAATATTGACCCTGCGTTCTCAAGAGGGATTTGAGTGTCTGTCGGTGGGAACCGCTAATGTTTTTGCGCGGAGAGAGCGTCTCGTGTTGGGGGCCTTCCAAGTGTTCGATCTTCCCTTCCCTGCGCAGCTTCTGGCTGATAAACATCTCGCGCAGGATTTTCGCACATTTGTCATAATAATCATTATTATCTTTGACAAAACTCCAGCCGTTGACGTCGATCACATAAGACTTGTCGCCAACACGAAGCATATCAAAGCCACATATTCTTTGCCCAAAGCCGTTGGATATCTTGGTTGCCGTAGCAGCCTCTTCCTTACTCAGTTTGGTAATGTATCTCAATTCTTTGCCATGCGTGTTCCGACGGACAAGGCCGTCAACCACGGGGGATTTGCGGGTCTCTGCGTGGCAAAAATCAGGTCCTACCGTGTACGCCTTGACATCCTCAGCATTATCAACTCTCAAAAACTGCTCGTAAAGGTAACTTCCATCCTTCTCAAGAACCGATCTTGGGATATTAAGGTTCGGATCGTATTCGGAGCTCTTATTACCGATTTTGCGAAAAAGCCGGCGGCCGCCACCACCATATTGTTGGTCTTTGGAAAAATAAATGTGGATATTGTGATCCTCCCCGCTGACTGGTTTTTCGACAAATGGCTTTCTAAAAACCTTGCCATCGACGATGAGGGATTCTCCGTCTTCGGACATGCACACAGACTGTGTTCTGGGAGTACCGCCACCAGTTCCGTCGTCGGGTCCCTCCAACTTTACTCCAGTGAGTTCATATACGTGCTTCGCGAGTTTTGGGCATTCGAGTCTGGGACCGCCATCTCTGTTAACCTCCATCCTTTTCGGGGTTCGGACACCCATATGGTCGAGGATACGAAGGCAAAGACGTCGATCCCATAGGACTTTTTGCATGGGAAGGTCATTGATGCAAAAGGGCTTCCTCAGCTTGGCGTATGCAATTGCTTTGTCTAGAGGGAATCCATCGGAGAAAAATGCAATTAAAAAGTCACTATATAACATATCATTAGTAACTGCTGCATTGAGTATTGCGATATACCGTTACACGAAATGGAGGGGTTCCTACCACACTGGCCAATTCTCCACATCTATAAATAACCAATATTAGTATGTATATCTTTTGATTTATTTAGATATTCTTGCAAGAAGAGACAGGAGGAGAGAGCTAGTAGAAACGTACCCTCATCAAGAATGACCTTATCGCCAAACACAATAACCTCAAATTCGCCCTTTGACTGCAATCTGGTAAGGATATTCTGACTAGGTTTGCTGCGAGCCTTGACGTCCAGGGCACACACCCCGATCTTCCCGATAAACGGAACCTTGGCTATTGCGGAGTTTGTATTTGGTCAGTTTGATATATTCTCGCAAACCATATCATGAAAAAAGAAAAATGGATTTTATTTTCTCGTGTAACTTACGATCAACTTCGCTCGCACTGCTTGCTCCCGTGCTCCCGCTCAGCCTTCTTGGCGCTCGACTGGATGATCTTGCAGGGCGGCTCACCCAGTTTGTGGTAGGACGACCATCAGTTCCTGCATCGCTACGGGGTACATGAGAGGATGATTGGGTGGGAGATACTGTTGCTGTTAGAGGCGATGCGTATCCTAGATGGAGGGAACAATTGAATACAGGGGATGCACACCTACTGCTCCCGCCCCAGGCGAGGAGGCCATAGTAGGAGAAGTTGTAAAATCTCCAGTACCTGCTGGCGTTTCCATGTTCATGCTCAAACCCAGGAAGCCAGAGGAATTCCTCGCAGCGGAGCCCTCCATGCCGCTTTTGATGGAACCGTTAACGCTGGAAGTGCCAGTGCTTGGGACACGGTCACCAGTGACGGAGTAGATGGTGGAAGCCAGAGAGTTTAGGGAGGAGAAGGATACGCGGTGGGAGTCTCTGTGAGGATCTCTCTCTGGAAGACAGGTCTGACTTGGTCGAGAGCGAATGGCGGAGGGCATTCCAGAGCTTGACGCGGTTTGAGCATTAGTGGTGGCAGATACAGGCATAACAGCATTATTAGCAGAGCTTCCGGCCGCCATGCTGCGATCGGAAGAGAAGCTCCCCGGTGACCGTGATTGACCGGGCGACTGGCTGGCTTGTTTGGGTGCAGGAGCAGCCGCAGAACCTGAGGGAGAAGCCGCAGCCGGTCTCTGCACCTGATGTGGCTGCTGGGCTTGTGTATCTGCGCCTGCGTCTGTGTCTGAGAGGGTTGATGTAGGTGCTGGTGGTGGCATTGGCGATGGTAGTGTTGTTGCTGTTGCCGGTCCTCCTGCGGTGTCTTGTCTCTGTTGCGGGCGGCAGCTCTCGGGAGCTGGTTTGTCTGTTCCCTCCGTAGTATCCGTCTCAGTGTCCGTCTCCAGAGGTGTGGCTTTCACCGTGTCCGTTGTATCCGCGGCCATGTGGGCATATATTTATATAAAAACAGGAATATATACAACCAAATATCAGTGCGTAAGGCAGGTAGTAACTTGAGCCACCTGGCAATCCAGCGGGATGGACTAGTCTAGTTGCTGTGAGTTATTGTGAGCAACCACTGCTGGCTCCGGATTCCAGCCCCATTGCGTATTCGTTGGCCGTACGTGGATCTATGCGGTTTGCTGGTTCCTGTCCTGGAAGTTGTTGTCGTTGCTGCTGTCGATGTTGTGCTGGTTGACGTATTTACAGACGGTGATGATGCCAATGATGAAGTATAAAAGCCTCCGCCAAGATGGGTTCAATGGCAAATTCTGCGGAATCAGGGGGGGGGACAGCAAGTGTATCGGGTAGATAATATGCCAAACTAGTAGTGGAAACGGGAGACGGCGAGAGAGGGACTATCCACATGCGCCTGCTGTTCGCTTTCTGGTCAATCAATCAAATATTGATGCTGTTGTGCGCGTCGTCTCGCCGCCTCTAGAAACTCGCAAAATGTTTCTTGGGGCGTTCCTTGTTAGGCCCAAAAGGGTAAAAACCGACAGCCAGCAGAAGAAAAAATTAGCTAAAGCAACACACCCTCAAGGCGAAAAGAAAAAGAAATCCTGGAAAAAGCAAAACACTCGTCTGCTCGATTTCTCTTGGCTGGAAAGGGCTGGTGGTTTTTTTTCTGAAGCCAAGAGAAAAATATTCCAACCTCCAATTTGTCCCATCGTCGCATGCCAACCCACCCGACCATGAGCATCTAATCTGAGTTCTCAATCACTTCATCGCAGAGACACACCATGCCGTCAATTGACAGCGATGCCTTCGGGTTCCCTGTTGCGAAGAGACAGAAGGTTGCCCCAGGCCAGCTTGTGTCTCAAGATGCTGCTCACCCTCCGAGCTCTCGGATATTCTCCCCCTTCAGAGTGCGTCTAGGTTATTTTTATTCCTCTTGAGCCGTCCCGTTTGTGCAAAAGGCTGACCTCTGCAACTAACAATCCGTATTGGAAACATGCAAAAAGACTCTAGGACTTGTATCCCCAACTACAGTGCCATTCACCTCCGTCCCGCTGGGCAAAACTACGTTCCAAATCACTACATCCGTAGGCAGATCCCTACAGACGTATGACCTCCGCCGTGGCCTCAGCCTCGTCTTCCTCACACGCCCTCAAACCCCCGCGGCTATAACGGCGATATGCGCCTGGAAAGATAAAGTGCTGGCTGCCTGGGGTAGTGGATCGCTGGCCAACGAATCCGCACAAGGTGTCTGGGTTTTCAAGCGCGGGAAGAAGATCGGAGAGTTGCCATTCCCCGCCTCACCAACAGCCACTGCGGGAGCAATAGGAGCAACCGAGCCGATTGAGCAGTTACTCGTGTTTGGCTCGTGGATTGTCGGATGCGGTTGCAGAACCATACGCGTGTGGAAATCTACGACCTTCGAGCATTACACCACACTCATCCCTCCCAGCCAACGAAAGACATTGTCATCAGCAGCAGCATCATCAGTGACGTCTGGTGGCACCACTCGAGTCCTGACAGGCCGGATATGTAATATGCCAACATACCTCAACAAGATCTTCGCGGGCCGCCAGGATGGTAGCATTGATATCTGGAACCTCTCAACGGGGAAACTTGTCTACACCATCCTCCCCACAACACCAGATGCAGGCGCCGTTACTGCCATGCAGCCCACGCCCGCCCTCTCCCTGATCGCAACCGCCTACAGCAGCGGAGCCCTGACCATCCACAACGTCAGAACGGACCAGGTTGTCCTAAACCTCCGCTCCCCCACTTCCACTTCTTCCACTTCTTCTACCACTCCCTTCTCTCCAATAACCTGCATCTCCTTCCGCACTGACGAACTGGGCGCTGGCCACGACGGGCGCAAAGCAGGCGTCATGGCCACTGCCAGCGCTGACAGTGGCGACATCACCATGTGGGACCTGAACAACGGCGGCAAGATCACCGGCGTCCTGCGCGACGCACACGAGTCCTCTTCTTCATCATCCTCGTCTGAAGAGCCCGGCGTTAGCAAAATCGAGTTTCTACACGGCCAACCCGTCCTAATATCCACAGGCACAGATAACGCCCTGCGTTCCTGGATCTTCGACGAGACCCCTTTCTCCCCTGTCCCTCGCCCCCTGCACTCGCGCAGCGGCCACTCGGCACCCATCACAACCCTCCGCTTCCTCCCGGCCTCCTCTGACGATTCCGACTCCGTCGGTAAATGGATCCTCAGCGCGAGCAAAGACCGCAGCCTATGGGGCCTGAGTCTGCGAAAGGATTCGCAGAGTACGGAGCTGTCGCAGGGCCATGTGAAGTTAAAGAAGAAGAAGAGGGGGTTTGCGGGAGCGCGGACGGAGGACTTCAAGACTCCTGAAATTACCTGTATGGCATGCTCGTTGAATAGGGACGGGGGCATGGGGACCGCTGCTGGCGCTGCTGGTGCAAACGGGCCGGTATGGGCTAATGTGAAGGGCGGCACTGCGGAGGCGACCAACTTAACTGGGTGGGAGAGTGTTGTTACAGGCCATCGGGGCGATAAATTTGCGAGGACGTGGTTTTGGGGGAGGAAGAAAGCTGGGCGATGGGCTTTTGGGACGCACGATGGAACGGAGGTTAAGGTTCGTTATTTTGTTTTTCGTTGCTTCTTCCGGTTCCCGTTTGTCCATCTCTGCAAATTCAATGACGGCTTGAAAATTTTATGGACCATTATTTATCTCTAACTTTTCTTCAGAGCGTCGCGGTTTCGCCGTGTGGCACCTTTGCACTAGTCGGATCTGCTGGTGGTTCCATTGATATGTACAATCTCCAATCTGGCATGCATCGACAGTCATTCCCTGCGCGGGTAACCCCCACCCAAGCAAGAAAGTTAAAGATGATGCAATTGGATGAGATGAGCGATCTAGCGACCGGGTCCAGTGGCAAAAGAAGCTTCCAAATGGGCGAAGGAAAACATACCAGTGCCGTTTCTGGGCTGATGGTTGACGCATTGAATACGACGGTTATAAGCTGCGGGCTTGATGGGAAAGTGAAGGTTCGGCCCCGGCCATGTTATACTATATATACCCAACCCAACCCAACCGTAAACACAAGATCTCTAACGCGTATACCTAGTTCTGGCAATTCCTCACAGGCCAACTGCTCCACGAGCTAGATTGGCACCCCATGTGCTCCATCACGGGTCTCCGCGCCAATACCTCCAGCGACCTCATCGCGCTAAGCTGCGACGACCTCTCCATCCGCGTTATCGACATCGAGACGCGCAAACTCGTGCGCGAGCTCTGGGGCGCCATGGGCCAGATCAACGATTTCTGCATCTCCAACGACGGCCGCTGGATCATTGCCGCGTCCATGGACTCCGTGATTCGCGTCTGGGACCTGCCGACAGGCCATCTCATCGACGCGTTCCGGCTGGCGAATACATGCACTGCGCTCGCGATGTCGGCGACGGGCGAGTTCCTGGCGACGGCGCATGCGGATGGAGTCGGGGTTAATATCTGGAACAACCGGAGCTTGTTCACGCATGTGCCGACGAAACATATTGAGGAGGATGCTATAGTGGAGGTCAGTGCGCCGACGGCGTCTGGGGAGGGTGGGGCGGCTGTCTTGGAAGCGGCATTTGAGGAGGATGCGGGGGAGGGCGGCCGTGGTGAGGACTGCCCTTTGTTGCCGACGGAGCAGCTGAGTGGTGATATGATGACGTTGAGTATTACGCCGAAGAGCAGGTGGCAGACACTCTTGCATCTAGATATTATCAAGGTAAGAAGAATGCCCCACTCTTATTTTTAATACATCAAAAGAAGAGAAATGGGAAGAGAATGAGAAGAGAATGAGAGAAAAAAAAACACCCACTACGATTGGAACTGTTGGAGAGACTAAAAATAAAAAAAATCTACAGGAAAGAAACAAGCCCAAAGAACCGCCCAAGGTCCCGCAGAAAGCGCCATTCTTCCTCCCTTCAACCCTCTCAAAGCCTGACTCCGACTCCTCCACGCAACTTGTCTCCGCACCAGCAGCAGCAGCAGCAGAAGGCAGCTTAGGAACCAAGAAGACCACGCCGGCCGAACGATCCCGGATCGCCAAGCTCCAACTCGCCAATGACCCCAGCATGCAACCCTCAACTTTCACCGCCCTCCTCCACTCATGCTCCTCCGACAGCAACAACGGTAACAGCAGTGACAGCAGTAACAGCAACCACTACGCGCCATTCATCGAGTACCTCAAATCCCTGCCGCCCGCCAAAGCCGATCTAGAAATCCGCTCTCTCGACCCGGGCCTGCTCAACGGGCGCAAGCAGGGCATGAACGAGCTGGTGGCGTTCGTGGAGGCGCTGACCGCACAGCTGAGGACGAGGAGGGACTTTGAGCTTGTGAATGCGTGGATGGCTGTGTTCTTGAGGGTGCATGGGGATGTTGCTGTTGAAGGGGAGAGTGTTGGTGCTGGTGCTGGTTTTCGGGATGGGGGTGGGGACGACAACGAGGCAGAGACTACGCGGGCAGCGCTGCGGGAGGCGTTGGCGCGGTGGAAGGTTGAGCAGGAGCGGGAGGGGAGGAGGTTGGCGGAGCTAGTAGGGTATTGTAGGGGGGTTGTGGGGTTTTTGAGGTCTGCGAGATAGGAAAGGGAGCGAATTGTACGTTGTACGGAACAGTACACACAGGTCTGTAGATGCGCAGGCAGGTGGATTTTTCAACAATTATCAATTATCTATCTAGACATGCATTTATATACTCCGTACTGAGCAGATGTATACAAAAAGATAAATAAATAAATAAATAAAATGGAGGTTACATGGATTTAATTACCGACAAGCCAGGAGTCTCTTAAAATAAACGCATCCCTTGCTTGTTTGCACGCCGTCGCTGAAGCCAAGGGTCGCCACCTGTTCTAGCCCGCAGCGAGCAGCCCGCAGGAGCTACGCTGGAAATTGCAGCGCTGGAAATTGCTTTTTCTGGATTATCAAGAACGGGGTATTGCGGAGGAGCACAGAGTAGATAGGTAGACATCGACAGAGTGTATGCTCCGGGCTGCCAATGGCGCCTGTGTCTTCTGTGGATGCTGCTGTGGACTCATACTTAGCTATTCTATTTGCCTCTTCTACCTACCTATCCTATCCTATCCTATGTACCTGGTTATTATGGTTATTAGCAGGAGATCCCGCCGTGATCCTGACTCAGCCGATGGCGGCTCTTGGCGCTGCGCCGACATCTCATCTCGCTTTCCGGACTGGGACAATACACTCAGCTCACAATCTCAGCAACTGACATCCACACACACGCTCTCTCTCAAATATCTCTCAAATATCTCTGGCTCAAATATCTCTCTCTCTCTCATATATCTCCTTCCCTCGCCATACGCTGCTGTACTGCTCATCTTCGCCCTTGCATCGACAACCCCGAATTAGCCTGGTATCTACATGCGCCCTCGGTCCTCCTCCACACCTCTCTCCCATGCATCCAAGCCGATATCCGCTGCTAGTTAGGCATAGCTAACCGGTTACCGATCCATCTGCATTCCTCCGGCGGGTCTCTGAACTAGCAAAAAGCGGATCATCGCATACTATTCTTATATAGACGGCCTGGACCACCTCTCTTACCCCAAAACCACGCCACAAAACCGGTCCAGATAGAAAAAAGAAAGAAAAAAAGAAGCAAGGAAAGAAAGAAAAAGAAACCCCCCCGAAAAAGAAAACCCAAAATCCAAAACACCACCAGAAAAAAGCCATGCACTGGTTCGTCGTTGTCATAATAATCGTCCTCCTTCTTCTCCTCGCCTACCTCGCCTGGATAGCCTTCACCCACTTCCGCGCCCGCCGCTCCGGCCTCCCGCCACCCCCCCTAAAATCCTACATTCCCTTCTCGTCCGCCTTCCACTCCTCCTCCTCGTCGTCGTCCCAATACCTCAGAGACAGCAGCTACCCCACCCCGCGCGCCGGCGGCATCGGCGACTGGTTCAAGGATAAATGGGACGCCGTGCGCAACCGGCGCACCGCGCGGGGCGCGTATGAGTCGCCATTGGACTCGGGCGCGGGCGCGGGTGGCCACCGTGGCTTTGGCAGTGGCGGCGCTGGCGGCGCTGGCGGCGGTGCATATGCGCACGATGAGATCTGGGATTCGCGCGTCGGGGAGGGCGGGTATGGGGGTGCTGGCGCGGGCTATTATGAGGAGCAGGAGGAGCTGGGGCTGACGAGGCATGTGGACGGAAGCGGGCCGTATGAGTTGGGCGGGCGGATGGAGGCGGGCACCGTGCCCAAGGCTGGGCCGACGGCCAGCACGGTAACGGTCGATTTACACGGAGGAGAGTCAGAGCCAGGACCCGCAGAGGCGGAGAGGGGTCGGAGTCGCAGTAGGGAGCCCGCGTATGGAAGCCAGGCTGATGGCGCTACGCTCCGCGAGAATCCGTTTACGGATCAGGCTGAGCCGAGCAGTTTGAGAGATGCTAGCCCGCGGCCGGAGGTTGGGGGGCCGACTACTAAAACTACTTCTACTACTGGGGCTGATACCGCCGAGGCTACACGGGGAAGATCGCCGGATAGAAAAAGCGGGTTTATAGAGAGGTTATGAGCGTTATGATTTATTGTTTTCTTTTTCTTTTTCTTTTTTTCCGATCCTTTTTTTATTTTCATGTTTATGTCTTTTGTCTTTTTTTATCACAGCAATGTATGTTTTTTTTCTTTTGGTTCTTTTAGTTATGCTAGGGCTTGAGCAGCTGTTTTTTTCTTGTATTATTGAATTGTCGCTTTGATTAACTATTCGTATATCTAACTATACTTATATTGTTTATTTTCAGGACTCTGAGCCAGCTATCATCAATTAGTGAGGTGAGATTTCGTGAGATTCGATTCATAGTTAGTGAATCATACTGTCTCTATTTTAAGAGTCAATTAGTTCGCGTTAGTAACCTGTCAGATACAGATTGGCAATATCAAGCTAATGACCCAGAAAAAGAAAGAAAGAAAGTCATGAAATTGCTCGCAGAAACGGTGCGCTAATTGTGTGCCTCGGAGCCATGGCGTTCTTCTACGATTAACTCAAGGAATTTCTCATTTTCAGAATTGTCATCTACCTGTGCACAGACACATACATACGCAACGCATACAATGGCAACCAAATTCAATCAACCTGTCGGAGAATATCATAGATGTTCGTCGCACGTTTCGCGGTAGTTGGTGCTTTCTCGGGGACCGCACCCTTGCTCGCCCTCCTCTTCTTCTGCTTCCCTTCCCTACTACTCGGCAATTTGGACGCGCCGATCCATCCCTCTCCCGCTCCAGCCGTAGACGCATTATTGAGCTGTCCACGATCACCCTGGTTGCGAGAAGACGCACCCAACAGGTCAGGTCCTTCAGCCAGGCTTCCACCCAGCTCTGGCCCCCCCTCTCCCTCCCCTTCTTCCTTGAGAAGCAAAACCAACCCCTCGACCACCCTGCGCGGCCCCTCCCCGCCCTCATCCCCCCCAATCCCACAAGTGCGCTGGGGACAATCGCGCAACCGCGGCAGATCTCTCAACAGCCCCGTCGCTTCAGATATCAACGCAGTCAACCCCCCGCCCAGCATTGGTTCAGGCGCCTCTCCACTCGCAGCAAGGACATCCTTCAGCATGCGCAACGAGTACAGCACTGCCTTCCTCTGCGCGTGGAGGTGGATGTCGTCCCACTCCAGCTTCTCCCCACAATACCCGCGTTCCAAGAACCTGCGCAGATGTCCTACGCTCGGTCTCTCGTCGGGTGCCATGCGCGCGAGGATATCGTAGAGCGCAAACGCCCTCCATAGAGCAGTGGGGTCGCGTGCACTCCCGCCACAAACGCCATTGCCATCATCATCATCATCACCACCACCACCACCGTCGTCGTTATAAACAGCCGAGACAAACAGATTAACCTGCTGCAGAAAAGCTTCAAGTCTTTCCTCCACCTCCCTGCGTTCCAGGAGAGTTAAGGGGACAGGCGCTATCCGCTGCCCCTTGCGCATATGCTCAATCACAGCCCCCTTCCGCGGCCCCTGGGCACCACCCGCAGCGTACCTCTGGTTCAAGAGTGAGTAGGCGATCAGCCGGAATTCGCTTCCCTGCGTCCACACCGTGCGTCGGTCATGGCGCTCAATCAAGTCATGGAGATAGAAATTTGCCGCCTCCCCAGGCACGGCGAACGCCGGTAATTCATATTGAGCATACAGCTCCGAGAGGCGCGGGTCCGCAATTGCAGTGAGAGGGTTGGAAATCCACGCACAGGAATCCGCGGCCGCATGGCCATCGAGATCATACTCCTTCATAAACGCGATGTAATTGGCGCTTTTCTCAACGATGCCCACGCTGCCCTTGGCGCGCTGGATGATGGTTGGAAACGATGCGTGCGAATCTCTGTTCAGCTCGTAGGCCAGGCGCTGGAAACTGGGCACGCCCAGTTTCTTGGCGACTGTCGCTGGGCGTACTTGCATTGCCCGTATGCTGAAAATACTTGCAATACCCGGCAGCCCGGCGCCGGCCAGCTTGTAATTCGGCAGGGGGTCACCCGTCTCAATTGAATCGATGAATATCACTGAGCCTTCGGCGCCAAGGTCATGCACGAGCAGATCGGAGTCGCCCGTGAGAACCGCACAGCCCGTTTCCCTCGCCGCGATTGCACAGTACGGATCAGCTTCCCCCGGAACAACCTGTGTCCTCCCCGCAAATATACTCGGACCAGCACCACCGCCAATTCCATAATCCCCACATGCCGCAATGACGTTCTGCAATTCCGGAGCACCGGCGGTGCATCTCACAACCTCCTCGGGGCTCCATCGGTATTTCAGATCCTCAATGACGGTCGGAACCACGAACGCGGTCTCCGGCATCGGCTTGAAACGCCAATGTAACGGGCATCGGCCGAATATTTTACGCGGATGGATCTCCATGGGCTCTTTGCGGATGCTGGATACTTTGAAACCTTCGACCGTGTCGCGACATATCTGCTGGCGGCTCTGTCTGCTTCCCTCCATCCGCTCGAGGCGAACGCGCCGTTTAGAAGGCGGTAGTGCGCCGTCGAAATATATCATCTCTCTAACATAAAACAAAGGGGGGACGGGAGCATTAGCGAATAGGGAGCTAGTTCGTTCCGGGGGGGAGAAAGAAGAAGAAACAAGAGTGCAAAGCAAGGACAAATAATCAAATGTCCATAAAATAAACAAATTCGGCCCTGCAACAACTACTAATGAACAGCCGTAAGAATGAGGGGGGAAAAAAAGAAAAAAAACAGGACATACATACATCCTCACCCCCAGAGCCACCAAACAGAGCAGAAACTGCATGACGGCAATGCTAACTTCGTCCGCAGACGGCTGCGCATCCACGATATTACACCGCTCGTCGCTCCATGAGAGCAACCGGTTGTAGATATGGAATACCAGCGCGGGCCCGTCTATCACCACGCTGCTGACGGTTTTCGCGCCCTGGCCATGGCTCTCTGCTGTGCTTTGCAGCCAGACGGCTTGTCCGTGCGGAAGGGTGTACTGTGTCAGGTATCGGATCCCCATCTGCACTGCAGCTCATGGGGTGGGTGGGTGGGTGAGATTCTTTGGCTGTGACGGGTTGGTGGGGATGCGGGGGAGGGCGGGGGCCCCCGGGGCGTGAGGACAACGGGGATATGCTTTTGATTTTGCAACTGGTGCCCCATGCGGACGATTTCCGTGCGTATGTATCATGGAACCTTGCAGATATCGGGGGTGTAATTGGTGACTGCTGTAGTTCGGGATAGGCCATTGAAAGTTGGTGAAGAAAAGGGAGGACAAAATAGTTTTCTTATCTTATCTCCACGTGATTCGGCTTGGTTCCAGCCATGTTTCCGTTCTAGAAGGCAGAGAGAACAACTTCCATAAACATTCGTTGAATTGGACTTTCTTTCTATTCACTCTAGTCATACATACATACATATGGCAAAACTCAACAATCCCAACTGCGAGCTGCAGACTCGAACCAGGCGCGGCCATACCAGACTCAGCCAGCATATATATCCCGTCTAAATGGGTCGGAACCCCGGCAAAAAACAATCCCTCAGGGGCCCTGAACATAGAATCGTTGTTACACCTGAGGCACGAAGTGGTGCGTGCTGACCTCCAACAACATATCGACACAAGAGGCCAGGCTCCTAAGAAAAGGGTAAACAACTGCTCTTACAAGGGGATACGGAAGTGGCGGCAACTGGCGAACGAGTGCCGGGTATCCGCGCCACCACCGGCATTACCATGTGTGTGTGGATCCTGTCACGCCACGCAACCGGACCAGGTGCTGTTTCTTTACCGGAGATAACAAGGACGGGCAGCCATATCGCATGATGTTATGTATGTTTGTATGGCGGGGAAATCAGCAAAACAGAGAAAAAAAAAACAAGTTTCGCAGTCCACGTAGGGCTCAGGACATCCATCGTTCGCCCTTCTGCTGATTTGAGGCAGTTTTGCCCCTTTGTCTTTTTAAAAACACACACAAATCGCTGGCCAGTCGGCCCTGCACCAACCTCATAGAGGAGTTGGAAAGGTAAATTCTGAATTCCTCTGCCCAAGACATCTGAGATATGCCCAGTCTCCCACAGCGCGGATACTTTGTAGAAGGGGAGTCGTGAGGCATGGTACTCATTTCTCAGGGGCATCAGGAAGCCGCTCAATAACATATTTCGCCCGCGCGACGCTCATAATCGGCACACCAGGGATTTTCCTACACAGAAGTAAAAGATGCAAGATAAAACGTCAGAACAGTCCATCTCAAGTAGGAATTTTTCGTAAAAAGTACCCCCACCAAAAAAAAAAAGAAAGAAAGAAAGAAAGAAAGAAAGAAACTCACCGAATCCTCCGCTTCAAATCCCTATCATTCGTCGCCACGATGTAAACCCGGTGCTTAATGACGCGATCAACCAGACAATCGTCCGCATACGTGCCCTTATGGTCACACTTCAGCCTCTCGAAGCGCGGATCCTTCGCGATGCGCAGCGCGATGCGGTACTTGGGGCCCAGCTTCTCCAACTCCGCCAGCACGCAGTCCGTCACGAGGGGGATGCATTTGGCGTACAGGCAGTCCATCATCGTCGGGATGACGTCGAGCTTGTGCTGCACCGTGTGCGAGAGGAAGTTTGTGTCGACGAGGATGGAGTAGGGGGGCGTGAGGGCCGTGTTGTATTGGAAGAAGAGGGCGGAGGAGACTTGGGGGCTGTATTTGGGTTTTTGTGTTAGCGGGCCGTTCGGGCAGTGGATGGATGGATGGATGGATGGATGGATGGTTGTTACATTTCGCGGACGAGGTCGTCTTTCTTCTTCTTCTCGTCCGTTCCCTTCTGCGGGGCCTTTGCCTGGTTCTGCTTTCTACGGGGTTTGGGATAAAGAAGTTAGTTAGCTCCAATCCGCGAGCGGCACATTTTCTTTTTGCCCCAGGACCGAAGATAACCTTGGTGAGGAGGAATGACTGAGATGAAAAAATTAACAAAATAAATAACATACAATCGGCTATCACGGCTACCAATCACTCTTTTCATCTATATTATCTCATTCAACCCGTTAACAACAACTTGATTTTCATTCTGCCGTTAGTAACAGACCAAACAAACACCTGAAGCAACGCACCTGAGCGAACTTGCGCGTTCGCTTCTGGATACCCATGGCCGTCTGGTTTCCTGTGGAAGCGGAAGAGCGAATAGGCGGGGGACAGATTAAAGCAGCCCTTGTTGAGCAGAATCGAGATTGACAGTGATAAGTCAAATCAAGGTTTCTCAAGGGAATCACGAACTTTTTTTTTGCCTTTTGGAAAAACTACCAGCTTACATAAATCAGAAGGGCGATGCCAAGACCTCCATGTTCTTGTTGGGAAATAGTAAAAAAAAGTTGCAGCAAAAAAGATGCGAAGCAGCTTACTGGTGAATCAAAAGTAATATAAATGAATAAAATGAAGTTTGTTCTCTGTTAAGTTATGTGTAGCAGCTTCAAATACTACCGCTGGCTGACCCAGAGTCGGCTTTAGTAGCATATTTTCCCACCAGCATGAATAGAAGAACCATTATATCAAATCATCGGTTACATCCTCTTCCTTCCCTTACTATGCATGTGTATCTTTCAAAACATTCATTCATCTAATCTATGCAATAACGATAATAACAAGTTAGGGGGGAAAAAAAGAAAAAGAAAAAGAAAAAAGTTGGAGTGGGGACAAAGAGAAAAACGAACTTAGAACAAAGGATTAGTTATAGTAGGATTACAAAAAGAATTATGTGAGAAAGAAGACAAGGGCAATTAGGTATCAAAAAATGGGGATCGACGTATGTATGAAGCGTGGGTTTCGGCAGCATAAACACTCCAGAGCAATGAAAAAATGAACAGAATACCCGCTTGGGAGGTAAACCCAAATGTAACAAGAAGGTGAAAAAGAAGAAAATTAAACCAGGAACAAGGCAAAAAAAGAAATTGAGAGTGGAAATACAATACATGATGTGAGAAAAGATAGAGACCGGAGGAAATCGCGGAAATGCACCTAGCATTGACAGAGCAATACAAGGCGCGCTGTCAAGCTGGAAATCTCTGCGCACGGAGACCCGAAAGCAGGCCGGACGTGAAACCATAAAACAAATCGGAACTCATTGCGCCTTCTTGGATGTCTGTGCATGCTTTTTCTCTCTCCACCTCTTCACAGCCTCAGGCGTATACTCGGTATCAAGGAAGTAATCCCACCAGCGGAAGCTGCTCGAAAAGTTTCCGATGAACTTCTCATGGTGTACGTCATGGTGGTCCGCGCCGGCCCAGATGGGCAGGAAATGATGCAGACTCCAGGGGAACTCGTAGCCACTGTGCGCGTCGATGGCCTGGAACAGCCGCAGGGTGATCCAGACGTACATGGTGAGGATGTGCAGGTCGCCAGTGATGGCGCTCCAGAGGATGGGCGAGCTGACGGTGCCGATGCCGAGGATCAGTACTTCGATGGGCGAGGCGTATTCGGCGGCAAGGCCGAAGGGGGCAGAGTATTGGTGGTGGATCTTGTGGATGCCACGGTAGAGCGGGCCCCAGTGCAGGGCACGGTGGAACCAGTAGTGCCAGGTATCTTCGAGGACGAAGAAGATTGCGATTTGATAAACCATAGTCCACGGGGAAGGGAAAGGAACGCCGGTATCAAGGCCGAAGTATTGAGCCATGGGGTGGAAAAGCCTGACGAGCGAGTAAGCAACAAATATAAAATTCGCTTCTTTCTCCAGTTTAGCTTAGTGCTGGAGGGACATACCAGATTTGTGGAAGTTCCACAGTGAAGTGACTGAGGAGGACGAATTTGGCGCATTCCCATTGCTCCTTCAGGCTAGGGATTTTACTCTGGTGGGGGGGAAAATGTCAACATCAGGGTCACAGAGGAAGAATATGTAGGAAAAACACGTCTGCGGGCTCGTTAAACGTACGCCTTGGATCTTATATTTGTGGAAATAAGGTATTTGGTCCATGATGACAAAGGGGAGGGCGCGGCCAAAATAGACAAACTCATGCATGGCGAAGGACATGATGCCGGTGGCAAGGACATCGTTCTGCATGTAGGCATACCAGGCTGCCCACAGACGCTCAGCGAAGTTAAGGTGGACATTGTACTTTGAGATTTCCTCGAATTGGCCCCAGTAGGTCTCCTGGGGCGGAGAAAGGAGGGTGGAATTCCTGCAATGAACGGGAGGAGAATTTTAGCATACTCGAGACAGGGGCTCTGGGAGAAGCCACGCAAATGATCACACGGCGGATTGAAGACACTCACATTGTGAAGTCGTGGCCAGAATCAGTGCTCTGTCGTTAGATAGACATGCCCGAGGAAAGAAGGTGGCTCTCTTGTGACAGTTATATCCAGCAGGAGATTGCTGGGGCAGCGAACGGTTGTTGTGTCGGGGCGCAGACAGGAAAGGAGTGATTGATAGAGAATTAAATTTCAAGGAAGAAGAAACAGACGACAAAGACGGGCCGGGACTGGATTGGGATCCTGGGGCTTGGCGGTGGTGTGGTGGCGGTACGGGTGCCAAAAATTACCGCAGCTGGCCAATCAGAACGCGGCGCCGGCAGGCTTCTGACCCAGCAATACGTAACGGCGGTATTTGGCGGGTCAGGGGGCAACCACCGACTAACTAGAAACAGTCTAGTGCATGCCGCCGCTTGGCTTAGTCAGGATACCGTATGATTGCTGTATCGCGGCATCCGAACGCTGGAAGTCAGGAAGCCAGGAAGTCAGGCAGCATCACCTCATCTTGTATGCGTTTTCCGACAAGGCGACGAGTGTGGGCTGGCGTGCCCCGGAGACGGATGGAGCGATGGCCGTTGCGGGCTGTGGAGAACGGGATTGTGGGAGCAGGATTCAGACACAGGAGCCAGTTTCAAATCTAAAATCAGGCCTTTTCGATGCCATTTGTTACCGGAACTGCGGTTGTATTCTTCGAGATGGATTGAAATATTCTGGATTGTTGTTCTTCGGACTTCCTGTTGCTGGCCGGGTTCCAGCTTCATGCCGAATGTAGCTTGTTTGTCTTGTTTGCAGCTAATCTCTCACCTGACGACGTTAGCGCATGTGCTTTGCTTTTTGCGTCTACCTTCAATAGAGTCAAGTTACTTCTCAATTACTTCGAATGATATCTCGATGTTGCCATGTCCCCTAGCCAGATGAGCCCCGCATTGGATGGCCAGCCACATCAACAGACATGTCGATAATATCCGAGTATGCTCTCCCCTCTGTCGTCGTGTTGATTACTCTTAAAAAACGCTGATCCGAATCTCAGACAAGTTCGACGGCTGGATGCGCAGATCGACAGGATCCAATTGCACCTCTCGGAATCCGCCCAAAAGTCAGCTGCGGTTGCCGCCATCACCCAACAGCCAGCAGACGTGCACGAGGAAGAAGCGTCTGCTACAACCAAGCAGACCATCGCTGCCTTAACCGCAATCGCAAGAGCGCTATCCGTAGGCTCTCCGTCACGCCCACTCCTGCACCCTTCCCATCTCCTGCAGCTTCTCCATCGATCAGTGGCCCCCTCTGTCCAACCCACTTCTGCAGCATTAGAAGATGGCTACATCTCAGACCTCCAATGGATCATTGCGGCAAAGGCCTCCGTCCAGGGGCTGGGGTTGGTCATGCGGGCGTTGCTGCAGGAGAGCATGCCGCTAAATGACAGCATCTGGTACTGGGATGAAGTCCTGAGCTCCCATATCTACACCGGCCTCTATACCATGCAGATGCTGCCCGTCAGGCTCTGGCAACAGGCGCGGGACATCTTCCACACGTTCCGGCGGCGGCGAATGGAGGCGCGGGTTATGGGCATGGGCGCTTCATCCCTGTCGCTGTCCGGTCGCTGGAGGAATTTCTACAGTATTGTCCACCAGAGTATCAAGGAGCGGTCGCTGGTGCAGTCGAAGATGATGAGGATTTTTTCGCCGTTTGCGTTGTGTCGGTCTCAGGTTCGATCGAAGCGGAAGCATTTGAGGAAGGTTCGGGAGGTCAATGCCTGTGCGATTGGACTGCTTGTGGAGGAAGGACTTGTTTTCGAGATGGAAGACGAAGACTCTGGATATGGCGATAATGGAAATGTCGAGAAGCTTGGAGATTGGAAGGAGGTGGTTCGACGGACTGTCGTTCTCCTCCGTGTCGTCCTGGAGAAAGTTGGTGGGGGTGCCGGCAAGATTGCCGTGTTTGAAAATACCGTGTTTGTGGATGTTGAACACCTAGTTCATGCTGTAGAGCATCCGTCGCACATTTTCCAGCAACTCATCCAGGTTTTGGAGGAATCCTTGCCCGACCAACGGGCCTCTACTGCGGCTATGATCAATAAATACGGCTACCCTTCTAGGATCATCCGTTACTGGATTCCGGTCTCAATCCTGTTCTTCTCTCTCGGAACCATACTAAATACATTAACTAATAGACGTGTAGAGATATGGACCTGGATCTCCGAGCTTGGTTCCACAATGGTTGATTTCTGGGCGAATTGGGTCATCGATCCCTTACGGAGACTCATCGGGACGATACGGCACGACGAGACGAGCGAGGTTGCCATAATGAGCAAGCACAGCCTGCAAGCGGATCGAGCTAGCCTCGAGAGGATGGTTGTTGACTTTGCCACGGACGTCTCAGGCCATAAGTCATGGACGCAGGCCGAGATCGATGTGCTCCGGTCTGAAGTTAAAGAGGGAGATCTTACTCCGGTCCTAAAAGCCTACGAGCGGGATTTGAAAAACCCTTTCTTTGGAACAGTGCGGGGAGACTTAATTCGTGCGCTACTGATACAGATCCAGAAAACCAAAGTGGATGTTGAGATTGCAATTGGGGGCATCGACGCGCTATTGAAAAGCCAGGAATTGGTATTTGGGTACTGCTTCCTATCTCCCCACTTACCTCTTCATTTACCCCTAGCTAGCTTTACTTAAATACGGCCCTAGATTTGTCGGTCTCACCCCAGGAATTCTCGTTTCCTACGCTGTATTCCGATGGGTCAGCGGAGCCTTCGGAAACAGGGCCGGCCTCCGGCGAGGGAAGAAGCAAGAAGATATGGTCCGCGCACTCAGGTAAGTTCCATCGACTGCATGCGTAACCCGCCTTATACCCATAACGTATAGAGATACATGAGAACTCACCGTATCCGCTCCTCACCAGCGCCGTCCATCGCGTCCTGACAGCCTCCACCACCACGCACGACGGCCTTCTCTCCTGCAAGGACCACGGCCTTCTGCTCTGCGAGACCGATATCCTCTGCCAAAGGGCTCAGAATCTTCTCCCGGGGGCTACATATCATGAGTTCCAGGAGGACATCCGTGAGCTTTTGAACGTGCGTGTTGGCATTGCGCGGCAATTGCGCATCTTGGAGCGTGTGCGATGGGCGTATGCGAAATGGACGCGCTGAAGTGCGGCCGTCAGGGAATACCTATGAGGCCAAAGGCATGCTTGGGTTTATTCTGAAGATATGATGTGAAGAATACACAGGGATTATTGGGGTGTATACATATTTTAGATACACTTGATGATCTGGATCCGTTGTGGACGCGTGTATTGAAGATATTTGTTATACAGCCGGACCTAGAAAAAGGTTATGTGGGAGCTCAGTCAGTATATACAAAATAAGGAGAAAACCCATGCAGCAGACACATCACTGCTGGACTACAAAAAATACCCCTTGCTCAGTCAGTTATGTCAACTTTCTTTGTGAAAGACTCAGTACGTTATCAAGGAGCAGTCAACACTGTTTTTGAAGAAGAAGAAGAAGAAGAAGAGACATAGAACTAAGAAAAACGAAAATAAAAAGAGCAGAAGAGCGACACCAGATTGCCATCCTCTGTGCCAGAGGTGCTCAGCTCTCAAGCAAGGGTGCTTGTGACTGACTGTCTATGTATCTTGATCACCACCTAACACATCACGGGCATCATCTGGAGTTGCCATCACTGCAGGTTACTCATCAGGTCATCTTCCAAGCATCCCTACAAGTTAGTACCCCTAGGCCCTGTATTCCTCAAGGGTATGCGCCCTGTGTAAACTGTTGGAAAAAAATACCCCGTCGAAGCCACCACCTAGCCGTCGGTGATAAGAATACGTATTTTAATATGAAAGCATAGATTTATTCATTGGGTTGACCTCCATCAATGCTGACAATTTCGCTCGAGATCAAGGTATGTATGTATGCATGAATATCTTGCACTTGGGAAGTATATCCTTCGATTCTGCCAGCCGTGCCATCATAGCGATATGCAGGCACATGTCCCAGGTTCAAGCTCATCGCATCAAGCCACCACTAGCCTGGGCAAGCTTTTCATTCTCCGCTGGCTTTTCTCAGTTATGGCTGACTGGTTTGTTTTGATCGCACTCCTTGCCATTTATGTATGAGAATATCACTCACTACCTTGTGTGCATTTACCTCATGGGAAGCGAAGCGAAGTGCTGCAAAGCTCAGACTAGCGACAAAGATTATGAGAATGCTGTTATGAATGTCTCTGAACATTTGACAGCTATTGAGTTCATGGGAGAACTACAGTTGATTGGAGTAGGTTGAGAGTTGGTTCAATGATAACCTGAGTTCTTAATGCGATTGCGTTGTGGGAACAGGCCGTTTCTTTACTTCCATGACCTTGCACGGCGCGCGGGACAGAAAGGGAGAGCATGGACTATGTTGATAATACACTGACGAATCACATCTTTACATGTCGTTCGAATATCCTGCTTGATGTCTAACATCTGCTGTGAACCTGTTGTATTATTGCTGCGCCTATCCATTGGGAATGTTTTCCCTGCGTTAGTTTACAGAAAGAAGAGAAGATAAATTCAGCACTCAACAATATTAGAGATTCAAAATACTGTGCACCTATTTTACTCGAAGAAATGGGTGATCCGCCAATTCGCGTGCTGTCTTTCTATCCTCCGGGAGCCAAGCAAGCATCGTTCCTACAAAGGAAAGGAACCCTTCTCTTTCTCTTTCGTCTAAAGAATGAAGTGTATCGGCGAGCTTTCTTGCCGGGATTAAATCGTCATGCAGGAAATTCCCTGGTTTGGCTTATCAGTAATGTTGATTGCGCTTAGTGTGATATGGGTCCTCATACCATCGCCATCAAAAAACGGGCCCCCAAAATATTCCATTGCGCTTGAGCATATTTCATCATCCTCCCCTTTTATGGGTTCAGGCCATTGCTGACCTGACATTGATCCGGCCTTTTCAACTAGCTCCCGAGGAGGAGGACCAAGAAAGCCAATCATTTCAGCAAGGTGAGATTTGGCGGCATAATGACCCTGCGTATTGTGGATGTGTTGGAACAGCTCTCTTCCTTGGATCATGTCCCAGAGCTGGTATAGAGTCAACATCGATCATATCTTATAATTAAAGAACGCGAAACATACCAGGACGCCAAAATTCCATATATCTGTGCTTGTACTCCAGCCACAGCCAAGTATAACCTCTGGCGCGCGATAGTGATCTGGCTGAATAGGATAGATACCTCGATCGTTCTGAGAAGGAAGCCTTGTAGATAGTCCAAAGTCAACAATCTTTGGTATATTTCGCACTTTTCTAAGAGGTCCGAAATCATTGCAGCAGCGATAAACTGGACGACCGGAGAGATCAGTCTTATACTGCATTGCGCTATTGAGTTGAGAATCCATATACTCATTGAGCACAACTGGATCTTCAAAAGTGACCATTATATTGTCAAGTTTTAGATCTATAAGGAATCTCCCATGAGCTCCATATCCATTTAGAATGGGTTATGCAGTAGACACACTTACCAGTATGAACAATGCTGCATGATGTATGGAGATAATCCAGACCTATCAAGAGAACGCGGACGTAGGTTTTGATAAGGGGAAGAGGGATAATTCCGTCCTTAAAACGCCTCTGGAAAATCCATAAAGGTTCTCTCATTGGCTCATATGCGAAACATAGGTGTCGTTCCCCTTCTGGGCTGCAAATTTCGAACGAACCCAGGTATGTTCGAAAAAGAGCACGTCCGCGGTGAGAAGGGTCTGCTTTGGCAATATGGTCCTCAATATCGCGCTCTCTCGCACCCGTCTGGGAGTCAGTATTGGTAATCTTCAGTGCCACTACACCCTCAGGTTCCCATCGGTACCTATGATGGCTATTAGTAACACAAAGCTGTTAGATATGTGGAAAGTAATACCCTCGCATGTCACGAGCAAACCATGTGGTAGATGAGACCCCCCATCCAACCTTTACAAGGATTTGATAGTGATCATCGAGCACATCTCCAGGCCTTGCTGGATAGAATTTCTTTGAATTGTAGCCGGGACAAATCTCCTCATCAACAGGTTCGTTTTGTGGTAGACGCTGGGGAGTGGGCACTGGAAGGGGTCTTCTGTGGAGTGTGGTGAAAGAGCGCCTCATGGCGCGGCTTATCGACCTCATTCGAGACTACTTTTCGATATTCCTATCGTGAAATAAAGCGGAACAATCGTGTACAGCTCAGAAATAGAAGGAAGTAAAAAGTACGAGCAGAATAAATGTAACAAGGGAAGAGATAGCAGGAGCCGAGGGTTTTCACCGAAATAATCAAGTTCACAAACTGTGGGATGTCTAAGTTGTTGTATTTGTTGGGGGTTTGGATAGGTTCGTCCCATTTGCTCCAGCGGCCTAGCAGGCTATGAAGCCCTTGTGTAATACACCCATTTATTATTTCCTTATACTTTGTTTATTCTTCCCTTATTATGTTCTCACTGCAATTATTTCTATATATATATATTCTCACATCTACTTACATCTTCTTTCTCTTCTCTTTCTTCTCTTAGTGATTAACTACTATCTACTTTTTATTGTACTCCTTGCTAATTTTCCTATTATTTATCATCTTCTACTATCTTTAGTTAGTTAATTATTCACTCTTTATATTATCATCATCTCTCACAGTTCCTAATCACTCTATTTTTAAGAAAAGGAGCAGCCTGCCTCTATCACCCTTCTTCTGGGGGGTGAGCAAATGAACATCTAAATCCCAGGGGATGAAAGACATCATTAATTACTTCAAAGGGTTGAACAGCTCAGGCACAACACTTTATAGCAGGAGCTTCATGAAACATGCAGCTGGGAGGGACGGAGCGAAAGCGTGAAGTCACGTCGCTAGATATCGTCGATAGATATCATCAGTGGATGTCGTTCTTTCTAGCAGGTCAGAAGATAGATAGGCAGGTGGTCAGATAGTCAGCTAGTAAGCTAGCATTGATAGGTGGGCAGCTAGATGGTGATGTTTATTCTCAGAGAGATTGATTGGATATTGAGCAGGAAGGTTGGCTGGTAGGTAGGTAGGTAGATAGGTAGACAGATAGATAGCTAGCATTCTCTATTCGATTAGCAATCGATCCGATATCGAGCAGGTAGGTAGGGAGGTCGGTAGGTTAGAATAGAATAGAATACGCAGGCATGTAGGCAGATAATTCAGGGGCAAACAATAGAAGCTACTTGAGCCAATTGTGGACTAGCGTTAAACTCAAGTCTCCACTGCCAAAAAAAATAAAAACATGGACATTTCCAACATTTCGATCAATCGAGATCTCAATTTGAAATCTTCTCTAACTACACCAATAAAATCATCAAAGATTCAACCTGCATTGCATTTTTGAACAACATTGTTGATATCCAATCATTTCAGTCACAACAATGAAGCGATTTTTGGCCCTGTATGATTTTTTGAGACTTTGCTCCGCCCCATCTCATTACATAGTGTATTATAGATTTAACTTAAATAGATTCAAATCAGTCACTTTTTCAATTAATTACACTATTGAGCTCTATAAAGTGGACTTCGAAGTCAACTTAACACTTTTGATGAGTTAACTAGACAAAATTATACATAGAATCTGAACGGCAGATTTTTTTTCATTGTCTAAATTAATGCATATATAGAGCTGTAACTATAAATCTGCATAGCTGATGCTCGCAGCTCTACAGCCTTATAGTTCTGAGCAGAGAGTCATCAAACAGTCATTAAAGGAACAAGCCATGAGCTACATTCTTATTCCTCTTCTGAAGCAAAAGTTCCCAGAGTTAAGTTTAGCAGTTGGTTTCAACCATCATTTCAACCATCATTGTTATTTATGGTTTGAGGGGGTGAACTTGTTCGTGTCTTTGCTTCAAGTCCTAATGTTTCAAGCGTTTTTGTGTTGTTGGGTGCACTGTTGGGAACCCAGTTCAGGTGGAGTTGATAATTCCAGCAATCATAAAGGCTTGGACGCCAAGCGTACCAGCCCTTTCATCGTCGAAGATTTCAAGTTTCTAGTTGTCAACGTAAAATCCCTGTATGGAATAGGCGCCAATGTTTGACGCTGCAGCTTTTGAAAGGGTATTGATGAATTTGAAGCTTGGGAGTGGTTGGAAGGAGGTACTATATTCTGGCGGTCAAAGGTTGAACTAGCTTGTTAGTGTAAAAGAAACCTGGTCTGAATTTTGTATTGTTACCTTCGCTGTGGAATCGGCAAGAAAAAGAAAAGAAAACAAAAAAAGACAGAGAAATTCCGATGCCATGTGGGTTGCCGCAGGATATTACGATAAAACCCTCCCAAATAAAATTAAATATGTAAAAAATTGTGGGGAAAAAAGTTAAGGAAGGAAAACCCCTTCACCGCCATGGGTTCATTTTCATGTGTGATTCAGTGAGACGAGCAACCATCTGTGCCTGCCTACTTTCCTAATAAGGCGTTCTCTGACCGCCCATTTCCGCAAGCCGAAATCTTCATATTGTTCTGGGTCTCCCCTCTCAAGGTGGTCTCCAACATGGTCCATGCGTGCGTCCCAATAATTTTGACCATAAAATTCGTGGCTGCAAAAGTTGCACACACTGTACTCTGGTGCTGAAGGTTCCAGAACCCAACACTGTCTAGCTTTCGTTTCAATGTAATCATTAAAAAGCTCCCGATCCCTCTTGCTAGGTCTACGAGACCCCGACAAAGCCCATGGTGAGTGAATGTCACGCATGTGCTTTACAAGGCCATCCTTGTATTTAAACTCATTTAAGGAACATGGACCAGAGTGTGAGGATTGGCCGTTTGATGAAGAAGCCTTAGGGATTTTGCAAGCTTTAGCATCACATCGATAAAAGCCAAATTGTAGATGCTCAACGGAAACGTGGCGTTTCCATTCGGCCCTCGTGGAGAATGCACTCGTGCAGCCGTAAGGGGCAAAGACACAAATGAACCGACGTTCATTTGCTTGTTGTTTGGACCGAGTGAAATGCGTATCTTGAGGGACCGGTGCAGGTTTTTGATTCTCAACCTTGACAAAATTAGAAATCAATGGTACTAGTTTTTTAGCGCTCAGTCACACGCCATCACAGCGTGATGCCTTTGGCAACTGAAAATTCTCTTCAGATCCAACCTTGGAGCAAATTATGCCTCAACTATGTGGAATAAAAGCTTACATTCAGGTGTGACTGATACGCGCCCGATTTTATCACCTGCTGGAGGAACTCGTCCTCCTCAAGGGCCACATCACGACGGGGGATATGGCTCCAATCACTGAGTAAGTCGTTATCTGGAACTGGGGTCTCCAGAGCTGGGTCAAACTCGCTGTCGCTAGTAGATGCACTCTCTGATAGTTCTTCCTCAGTCGATGTTAGTGAATCGGTTGCCGAGAGACCACAGGAAGAATTGTCGTCAATCTCGGCATTGACGCTACCGCTATTGGTATCTTGGATTGAGGTCTCTTGATTATTCTGTATTAATGCTAGGCGGACAGTCAGCAACATTAGCATCTGCAGATGCCCCGAGATATGTAGTGCCATAATCTTAGAAGAGTTAGAACCGAGCGAGATGTCATCGTCATCTTCAGGCCTTTCATCGCTTAAGCTATGAGGTTTGGGATTACTCATTGCTAAATTGGTTCGAGCCGATTTGCTCTTCATCTCACGAGGCGGCCTTTTCCGACGCTTTCCAGAATATAGATGTCTAGGTGGGGCCGTTTGCTCAAGTTTGTAACCACATAAAAGGCATTCATCTTGTGCTCTTGGCAGTTCTTCAGAACTGCAGCGAGAAATTGTTTTAAGTATTTCAACAGGATAGACATCGGTATGGTACTTGAGCAAATGAACGAGAAGGTGTTGTGAACTGATGAACTTTCCTCCGTCGCGGAAGCAGTCAGGACACGTCCAGGACGTCACTGTGTAAATTTTTTTGTGCCAATTTTCTTCATGGCACTGCATGTGATTAAACCAATCAGCAAATTCAGCGAACTGAGCGTGAGACTCAATGCATTCCTCTTCTATGCACGGATATGGCATAAGGTCGGCATTGACATGTTGTCTACACAGAATTAGCTAAACACAGACCAATCAATGTATGCGGGCTCCAATAAGATGTAAACGCACCTCCAATGTTCTGGTTTCAGAGTCTCTTCTGGAAGGTCCGCAGAGCACCACTCACAGGTGATGGTATCTGCATTCTTTTTTGGAGGTTCGGGGTAGTTGTCTTGATGGAATTGGTCTGACCGGGTCTGCTGCAATTTTGAGCCCAACTTCGGTGAATCATTCAAGATCCCTTGGCCTTGTTTGGAGCCACCTGTGGTGAAGTCCGATCGGGAAGAAATGGTGGTCCGGTCTTGAATGCCTCTTGCCTTCATAGTTTTGTTGGGCACTCGATCCTCATTAGATTCTTCGGGTTCTCCATCTTCAGCTGTCATCGTATTGGGATGCGTTTGGAGTCTATGTACCGTCGGTTGGACAAATTTCTGGTGGAGCCTTGCAGCATACCTTCGAGTCATTGACGCGCCTAGGCGATCCCGTAGTTCTCGGTGAATATATGGATACAGTGTCACGACCGACCCCCAGCATAACTCTTGGAATGTCAGGAAATCAGGATGGTGAGCAAATCCCAACATGTCGATCTTCTTGCACTGAGCTAACCTTGATGTTATCGAGTAATTTAGCCTGTAAAGGTCATCGACGCCCTTAACTACACATCTAACTTCCTCAGCTTCCTCGGAGATGAGGTCCCTCAGAGATTTCTGTTCTTGTCCATTCACTTCAGTCTGGGGATGAGTACCACCATCGCTGGTCCGGTTGATACGATTCAGCACTACAGCTTGTCAGCGAAATATTCCTCCTCCAATAGGTCTTCAGAACTTACGTCTTGCTATACAGTCTGACAGGAACATCAGGTGAGCCTCAACAAAGTTTTGGAAGGATGCGGCATGATGTCGGAGCTTCTCATCGAGACTTAAAATTATGGGTGCGAAAATATCATGGTGAGAAGCCCAGCGTTCAAACCGTTCCTGGATTACACTGCAGAGACCAAAACGCCCATTTTCATGGGCAACGAGTTCATCAAAGAGGTCGCTGCACTTCGACGCTTGGTGATATATGGCCATTGCAAAACCAGTGATGGGATGGGGTCTTGGGGTGGGATGAAGGGGGTGGGATGGGGTAGAGCTATACGAGAGTCAAAGCTGGCGAGCGCTACCAAGTTGACCGAGATCCTGTGACTCTGCGCGAAAATGGTTGAGATTGGTGACTGAGATAGTGGGTAAGTGTTCGTCAGTTAAATAAATGTTGGTTCAACAACAATGTTTGCCTGGGCAGCCTCGGAGAGTTGCTGGGCGACGCGCCTCCTCCCGTACTCCCGCAGTCCGCAGAATGAGCTAGCGGGGCCATGGCATGTCCTGTTTTTGTCTTACAGCCGATGCAGGAAAAATTACCAGGACGTCACAGCTGAAAATTACACATCCACTCTGCATCAACTAGGTCACCAGCATAGTCTTTGGTTACTGCCGCCAAGTGGTGTTTTATTTTTTTATTGCCCTGGAATCTGCCTCCTCATGCAGGAGACGTGGACTCAATGAGACCATGTACCACCCTATGTGTCAAGGTGTGAGACAAAGATTGCCAATCAGCAGGTCCAGGACAGCGGAAGCCCACATCTCCAGCTACTGGGGTTTGGACCAGGGTCATGAAGACCTATTCTTACTATGTACACAGGAGAGGACCTGGAATAGGTAGTGTGTGCAATCAAAGGCGGCCAGGAAACATTTGTGAGAATTGTTTACCAAGCGTACGGAGTTACAAGAGTGCCTAACTACCACTAAATACAAAATTTAAAACAACAGGATTCTGTCATTTTGTTTGAATTTCTTTTTTTTTTTTTTTGACCTAATTAGTGTAATTTAGGGAATGTGGAAGTGGTCAAATAATTCCACACTACACAATACATCCAAGCCTCGGAGATCAAACTTGTAGGCTGATCATAAATACTGTTGAGTGATGACCTCCTGGTAAGCAACAGATTTATCATATAAATTTCTGGTGTGCTCCAGGACTTATATGCTCCAAAACCCCATTGATGAGTGACACCAATGAAGGTTGGAACTGTTTCCGGTCGAAGTTTTCGCATACAACCAGGTGCAACACCTCGAGTGCAGAGGAATACGGATATGGACTGGGTAGTAACTACCGCATATCACGTGAAACGGGGTCGGGCCGAGCCGCAATCTGATCTTATCTCAGTAAAACTCAGCCACTCCACTTTGAGCTAACTCAATCTGAACTACTGCCAAGTCCTGCTAACATCTGAGTCAATCAACTGTCAAGAAGCTTACACTAAATCTAAATGGAACATCCTCAGCAAACTCTTCACAGAGTGTCTGAGAAAAAACAGTTCCAGTTTATTAGCAACACAGAAACAATTTACTTCAATCATAATATTTGAGATAGAATTACTGTACAATCTCACTTATAGATCATTTCTCTACCATCTTGAAGAATTAATTTTTCAATTTTCTATTGATTGAACTAATTTTTATTCAAAAATATATATATTGTGAGTATAAAGTGTCATGTTAAAAACTGCTACTCTGATTTTGAACATAGAAATAATTTATTAATTTTTCAATTATGATTATATCTAGTCATTCAATGTCTTGATCTTATCATCAAAATATATATTCAGTTATCAGTAGCTCTAGTTAAAGTACTAAGTATATTTTCTGATAACTTCTGACATTTTTTAATAATATTCAACAACTTCTGACAACTTCTGTCAACTTTATATAACTCTTGATTATCTTACACAGTATATCAACTTCTGACAACATCTGAAATCTTTCAACAACTTATAAGATTTTTTGATAACTTCTGAATTAATTATATAACATTTTTTTTTGACAGCTGAGTCAGACAACTCTGTTGAATATAATTAAAAAAGATCAAAGAAAATATAAAAATCAGCAACAACAGCAGCTTCAAAAGCTATTATTAAAGTAAATACTTTTTATAAAAATTGAAGATATGTCATAAGTTGTTATGAGTTATACTGAACTCAAAAGTATCAATAAGTAATAGAATATTATTGAGCATTGTCTTCAATAAATCCTTCAAGACTTATATTCAGATTCTAAATGCACTCTTCAGTTATATATAGAACAAGTCTATATACTTCAGTATATAATATATAAATATGATGACACTTTATTCATTGTCAGAACTGACTATAAAAAGAGTCTTATTCTTCAATTCTATACAATTCTGACAGAGAAGATAATTATTCAACTGATTTCTCTAAACAAGTTTGATAATCAGTAGATAGATGATATAGCTCAGTTTCTCTCTATCAATTCTTATTTAATCAGTGTCAGCAATCTTCAGAGAGAAGAGCACTTACTCAAATATATTCAATAATATGAATATATATATATCTTACTCAATTCAGAGTAAGCACTTTTCAAGCAGTTTCAATGTATCTTTCAAAACTCTACTTTACAAGAAAAGATTGAGCTTGTAGCTATTGATAAGTATTATCTTATCACTCAGTGAAGTGAATTCTGTGATCAGTTTGTCAGACTGAGACATCTGAGATTATTTTTATATGAGAATATTATCTGATTTAACTGTTCTGCAATTCTCAGCAGTAAAAATGAAGATATTATTCTTCAAAATACTGAATTTCATTCTGTTGATGATAATTCACAGCAGATTCAGATTATTTGAATCTTCATTAATCATTCTGATATTTTTATTGATATATATTCAATTCCACATAATAAATTAGCATTCTATAATATGCTATATTTCTTATTGAATGAGGCCATTGATACAGATGGAAAGATTATACCTCAATCTATTTTAAAAACTATTATTTTTATTGATAGTATTGTCAAAGTTCATCAAGCAGTGCAGTTTTTTCAATTAATGCTTCTTCAGCTCTGTCAGAATAACAGTCAAAATACTGATAATATTGACATCTCTTTTATTAATAACATCATTCAGTTTTTTCACTCTCAAGTATCTGAAGTGAATAAGAATAATCACTTCAAGAAGTTCATGAAATCAACATCAAAAATATAAATCATGATGATAATAATCTCACTGAGTATGAGTATAAATATTTCAGATATCAAATATACTGTTGTATGGGGATTTTCTATCAAGAGAGATGATATCATGAATGTTTGACAATAATGTGAACAAAAGAGTTACAGATCAGATCAAAAAAGTTATATTTTAATTTTTCTTCTCTACTGAATATTTGATTTCAAAGATTATAAAAAGAAAGCTTTTCAATATTCTTAATTATTAGTGAAACAAAGATCTCAGCAAAGAACTCAATATCAGATCAGTCAGCTATTACAGTTTATAAACTTCAAAAATATATCTGATGCTGAAAATATTGTATCAAATATGACAAGTCAGAGTCAAAGTCAATATAGAACAACAACTGTAAAGATATAGACAGAGAATGAAATACAAAGACAAGTCAATCTCTCTGTTGATTGAAAAATAATTATCAATAACTCATATCACTGAAAAGATCTTCTGATATATTTTGATGAGAATTGATTTTTATTTGATATGAATAGAATGAATACTTCTATGAAGAAATACTGCAGCAGATGCAATTCTAGCTGTATATCTATATTCAAACAGTCACTCACTACAAACACTATCAAGAGATCTCAAGTCAATAGTCACAGTGCTATTCTATTGTCAGTACTTAAGAACTGATGTATATAATATATACTATCAAGTCTCTAACTCAGCAAGCTTCTCACTGAATATAAGATAAAATTGAGGCTTATATAGTGTTGCTGAGCTTGTTCACTGAGTCAGAAGATAGTGTCACTATCACAGATTAAGATATAATATCAAGAGAAATATCTAGAATGACTAGCAATAGCTACAGCAGCAGTCTAAAATAGATAATAAAAATATCTAATAGAGCTTACAGAGTAGAGTGTATGCTTAAAATATGTATTATAAAGAAGTATACTTAAGATGAGCTTATAGTCATACAATATAACTGAGTATAAGTAAAGATGAATAATATTAGAGTGTAAAAGAAAACAAGAATTGATCATAATCAAGAAGATAAGCTTCTTGATTCTAAGAATAATGAGTATGTTTAAATATATTTGAGTTCTCATATAAATTATCTTGCTCACTCTGCTCATTTACTTACTTTACTTATCAGTAATTATAATGAGTACAGTGATCAGAGTAAGTAGTTATATAACCTTATAGTAGTTTCAGCTGAGAATTGTTTCATTTCTATATCTCTTCAGTTCTTATTCAATAAGCTCTGACTTGTGCTGCAGATTTATAATATCATTCTCTTCTTCTTTTTATGAGCTGTTTTAGTAAGTGTATAAATAAGTGACTGAGTTCTCTTTTATATTTTCATGAGTAAGATTTCTTTATTCAGATTACAGTATGGTATCTTTCTCTCTTCATCAAGCTTATTTTACTGATATCATTGTTGCTCAGAGTTTCATTATACTCATTCATTGTAATCACTGTTTTGAATTTGATATCATATATCATGTTCTTTCTTCACATAAGAAATGTTCAGAGTGTATTTATCATGATTATTATTGTGAACAAGAGTTGGTTTCTGAAGAAGAGTGGTTGAAACTGAATCATACTAAGAAAAAGATGAAATTGAATATTCAAGTAAGTGAAAATTTAGTAAGTGAGCTGAGTGCTTATTTGAATGAACTGAGTAGTTCTTTGTTGAAAGTCATTACAAAATTGAAATAATTAAAACAAAGCATAAATTTTCTTGAAGATTATCAATTCAAATTTCTTCAAAGAGATCTGAAAGTTCTCAAGTTCTTAGATGAAGAGAAATCTTCTACTTCTTCTATCAAAATTGATTCTTCTATTCTTAATATTACTGATTTCCTCATTTTTTTTGATGATATTATTTTCTTGAATTTTCTTGATTCTTCTGTGATTTCTGCTGTTGAAAACATTGAATCATATTCTTCACATTCTTCAAATTCTTCATAGATTCTCAGATGTTTTCTGAGGTATTATATTCTTTTTATTTTATCAAATAGTATTTCTTGTTGCTAATTTTTTGTTTTTTCAGTATTTTCTT